TCAACATTGGGGAAGCAAGGACTCGTCACCGGTCAACAGCGGTAACAGTAGTACCCAGAGTGAGCTCCTTCAAGCCCTATTGATGCTTATTCTTCCTTCAATGAAAAATGATTGTGAAATGTTATCAGGGAAATTTTTTTTGTCAAATATTGGTTTTACTAAGGAAATCGATATGTGTGTGTGTGTGTGTGTGTGTGTGTGTGTGTGTAGATAGATCTACAGATATAGATATTTACATTGAACAATTTAAGAGACAATTTGTAAAGGAGAAAAACAGTTCACACACTCCCTGCCAGGTGGTCTGTACCAGCCCCCATGGGGGGTAATGCTCCTCACCACATCTGCTGCTGCCCCTCTGGGTCCATTCCGGTGGATGGCTCATCCAGAAGTATCACTGACGGGCTCCCCAGGATGCTCAGCATGAAGCACAGCTGGAACGAGAGGGGCAGTCTGTCCTGCACCTGTCTGCAGGGCGCACAGAGCCACCTGAGCCCTGTCCCATACCTTTCTCTTTATTCCGGCTGACAAGGTCTTCACGGCAACCTTCAGCTGATCCTGCAGCTTGAACGCATCCACCAACCTGAAGGAACCCAGCAGAGCCTCAGTCTGCTCCCCAAGGCCAGCTGAGGGGAGGGGAAGCTGGGAGGGCCAGGGTGGGGAGCAGAGCTCAGAGGCCAAGTGGTGGGGGAGGGGAGTGCATATCACCCTCTGGTCGGATCCCCACCCACAAAGACAGTGCTTTTTTGAAAGATATCCAAATTATTGTTCCATCGTTTAAACTGCAGTCTTTTTGATAAAGTTTACTAATGAATTTTCTCTCCTTGTTTAATAAGAGAGAGAGAGAGAAAAACAATGTTTATCAATCTGAGTAAACCAGTTTCCAGATGGGCATCCACCCAGCACGACCTGGGTGGGTGTTTACACCCCCGGTGCTGAGTTTCCCGTGGATGCCGTCACTCCAGTCTTCTCCCCTCCCTGACACAGAAGCTGCAGGCGCCCCGTGTACCGTGCAATGGCGAGCTCAGCATCACCTCTGCTCAGCCCCTTCACGGTGGCAAACACCTCCAGGTGCTCCCTCACGGTCAGGTTGGGCCACAGCACATTCTCCTGAGGACAGTACCCCAGGAACTCAGGGGCATCCCCTCCACTGCTCCCTTGGAGTAGCACCTGTGCATAAAGGGTCTGACTCAGAGCCTACATTCGGCGGTACTTCTCGGAGTCCCTCCAGCGCAGCCTTCTCTTCACCAACTTAGGTAGGCTGCAGGGCCACCTGGAGTTTGATGATCTGTGATCATGTGCATGGGAGAAAGCTTGTCAGGGTCAGTGCCTGTAAATCAACGTGTGCAGCCAGCGATGTAATCCGAGTTGAACACCAAGGATCCCACAAGTGTGGTCGCCCTGCCATTGTGGTCCCCAGTGATGGCCAATGTTTTCAACACTGACTGAATAAGGCCCCTTAATTTAATGACCCACTCTTTAGCTTTGCTCATGGATGAAATGTCTCTCGGTGCCTCCTACATGATGAATGCTGTGCTGCCCACCAGGACAATGGACGGCGGGGTAATCAGTGCCATGTGGTTTGGAGTTTTCAGTCTATCGAGTGGATCAGGGAATGGAGAAATGAGTGGACAGAGCCAAGATGGGCCAGAAGGGGTGCTGGGGTGGACATTTATAAGCCTGGGTGGAGAAGAACAGGGGAAGGGATTTTGGTGTGGATGTTCAGGGAACCTGTCTGCTGAAGGGGTCATTTCAGCAGAAGAGAAGGTGCCAGTCACGGACGAGGCTGGGGCCAGGGGATCTGAAGCAGAGCAAAGGCTGAGAGCAAAGTCCCATGAAGGCATGAAGTTTTTCTTGGACCCGAGGCAGAGGCAGCAGTCTTGCAGCAGAGCGAGCAAGGGGAGAGGGACAGAGGTGTAGCAGAAGGACATGGCAGTCCACTCCTGCCACCACCCATAAGACAAGGGGGAGGTGACTTGCCAGTCCCAGAGCAAGGTTAGCAAGAGAATGACATGGCCGAGAACATCCCGCTGGTTGATCCCATTCAGCTCATTTCTGGATGTGCCAATGGCTGACTGTTTTTCAGACCTTACTTGGGTTTTAAAACATTTTGTCCCAATATAATCAAGGAGCAGTTATGTCTCCTTTTTTCGCATGCTTAATAAGAAATTAAATGTTGACTTAGGGTCCAGGTGGTGACTGAGGTGAAGGGCCGTCACTACAGAAGCAGGGAGTCCAGTTAGGGTTTGCTGACTCACCAACGTTTACTCAAAGGTCCCCTTGGTGAACACCTGCTCTCACTAGGCAGTGGCGGTGGCATCTGAGGCTGGCGAACACCTGTGCTCTCTCCTCTTAGTAGGCTACTTGTCAGTAGTACTCCTGGCTGTGCGTTCCCTCTGGGCTTGACCACCCACCCCTTTCCATGGAGCAATTCCACAGACCTCCTCCTTTATATTTGGTCCTGTGCTCCCCCTGGACATACTTTCTCAAAGGAGTTTTCAAGATTCTGCCAGAGAATCTCAGAGAAGAGTTTTATTTCTATCCCATGATGTCTCTCCCTTTGATAAACCTGAGCTTGCCTGGCCACTTCAGTAAATGAAATTGAAGTACCAGTCCACTTCACATCCCTGTGGCTTATTCACTAAAAACATTCCAAGAAATAGTATATTTTCATTAAAAAAACATATTTCAGGAACAAAGTGCTTTGTGAAGGACAATGATGATAACCAATAAATATTTTTGGGGTTTCTTAAAGCAATTTAACTCAAGATCAAAATATTACATATTGGAAAGATGATGATGCTCATGGATTTTTGATTTCTGATCTGATGCAGAAAATTCTTACTGCCTTTGACATCATGGATAATTACTCCCTTTCAGGGCTTCAGTTTTGAGTGTAGCTCTGTGCCAACGTTTGAAATATTCTTCTATGTACTACATTCTACATATTGGTCTATCATTTAATGACTGAGTGGCACCTTGCTATTTATAAAATTATCACAGCTTACAAACTTATTCCGAGCACCACTCGATGACATATGTCCCATATGATTCACCTACCTGTCCAGCAGTTGATTTCGTGTCTCCAGTTATCACCTTAATGGATGTACTTTTACCAGCTCCGTTGTGTCCTAACAACCCTAAAACTTCACCTGGAAAAAAAAATGGTGACAATGTGATTTAATTGTAATGGTAAAATTAAGAATAATAATCTAAAGTCTCACTATGTGACTAATATTTGCCGTGTGTTTTGTAGGTAGTATCTCATTTCAATGTTACAAACATCCTGAGAAATTATCATAATCTCTTCTTATGTATTTGGGGACAAAAACTCTCAAAAATGAGGTTATGTGCCCAACGTCACATTGATGGGGAGTGGCAGAGCCACTCTTGGAAGCCAGGAGTGTCAGAGTCTGCCTCCTGTGATCCTAACCACTGTGAGACAATGACACAAATTGAGGCCATCGACCACCTCTTGGTTGAGATTACAGAAGATTCTGGAGCCTCCCCAGCCCGTTCTCTTGTGAAAAATAATGACCATGAGGAAACCAACTGTGTTTATTCAAGAACAACATCCTGGCTCCAGTGGGTCCCTTGAACAGGCTCAACATAGACGTGACTGTGCCCCTAATCATGGGGCAAGCGAATTAATTTAACTTAGGAGTGAGACATGTGAAAAGAGCTGTCGAGGCCACCCTCCACGACCTGCAAGTGAATTCAGACATGGTGCCTAAGCACTTCTCCCCAGGAACCTCGGAGCTCTAAGGAGCCACCCCTGGGGAAGTGTCCAACCTTTCCTGACACAGAATGAGACATTCCTGGTGGCTACTTTGCTCTTCCTCTTAGAGAAGCAATGCTTCTTCTTTCCCGCGTACTCCTTGCGTAGACAGCTGGCGACAATGACTGGCTTCTGTGAAGGTCAAGTGAATCGTGTCAGACCTCTGTTCTCTCCACTAACAGCATCAGCTCTCTCCCCGTTGCTTTGACCCTCTGCCGCCCAGGCCTGGCATCAGAGACGTCTTTCTGCTAGTAGGGGATGTGCGTATTGGTCGTTCTCCTAGACTCGCACTTACTTTTGGAGAGGAGACAGTGTCATTTTCCTCTCCTACAAAAGTTGCTACTCCGGAGCACATTATTTAATATAGCCTGCCCGACGCCTTGGAGCAGGAGCAAAGGGAACTGGAAAAGCACTTGATTGTCTCAGCCTCAAAGAACAACACTGCGTGCCCTGGCTGGGATCTGACTCTGAATTTTGTACCGTGCACTTTCTCCAACAGGTAGGGACATGCATTGCTTCTTTGGGTTTCTGAAAGCCTCTCCTGGCTTTCCTCATTTCAATTGCACTTGGCTTCATATATACTCTAAGAAACACACAGAAGGCTAACTTGACTTTCCATCTGCCCATTAGATGGGAAAATGGCGACAACCTATTAAAGAAGCCATCCTCATGTAAGGCTGAAAGAAAATCAAGTGGTTTGAGAACTGGTGGATGCATACATCACCGAACGTACATATAATGTGATGAAAGAGCCACTTTACATGTTTTACCTCATTAAAGTCTGTGGAATTCAAGGCATCAGCCGTTCTCAGTCTTTCCATCTGAACATCTTCATCCTCCTCTTGGGGTTCTTCTGGATTTTGACACACATCACCACTTTTTGGAGAAATTCTAGAGTTGAACACATCCATTAACAATTGACTTCTGGCCTCCCTCCTGGTATTTAGAACACTGCATTCTTTCAAACTTATGCTTGAGGAGGCTGCACAGTTAACAAACCACCATCACCTCCCTTCGGTGCAGTAAGCTCTTTCTTACTCCTTTGTAAGCTCCCTGCTTCTGTTAACAGCAGGACTGCCCTGAGCAACCCTCTCATCTCAGGTAGCTTGCATTCTGCATACCTAGAGAAATAATATGTTTTTTTCTATTTCAGAGGGGTAACTGAAGCCCATTAACTGACAAAGAATTTTTATATCATAGCTCCATGAAGCAATTTTTCTGAGAATTTTAGCTCTGACCCCAACACGTTGGTATTATGTTCTTATGGGGAAAATGAGCCAGATTCTTTGGAATCAGGACTGGTTCAGAAAATATAAAATAGATGCTTGGTCCATCATGAAGCCTGGCCATTTCTTTGGAATCCATGCATGTTTATTCTTTCTTGCCATCCTAAGTCTGGCCTGTCACATTCAGAACTCGTCTGTTTCTGGTCTCTTTCTCTTCCCTTGATTTCCCTGTTGGCAGTCACTCTCTGACTCTCTGTACTAGTGAAAGATGAGACCTAAATGGTACAGGAGACACAGAGGGTCACGGTAGCATCGCTGAATGGTTCACAGAAGTCACTGCCACTAAGTCCCATCTATACCTGAACCAGTCTGTGGTCCACCATCTGACTGCTCACTAACTCATGTCGTTGGCCTGTTGGCCACGCTATTTCCTCTCCCTGGATGCATAGCATTCCTCCAACCACCAATCTATTCAGATCAATTGTTCCTTAAATGGAACCAGCCAGATTTACCTTTTTGCGGGTGCTCCACAGGACAGTGTTGGATAGAGCCTTCCACCCACCCTCAGTACTGGAGATTAAACCCAGGTGTGCTCTACCACTGAGCTATATCCATGGACCTTTTTATTTATTTGCTTTTAAATTTTGAGACAGTCACGGTCTTGCTAAATTACGCAAGCTGGCCTCAAACTGACAAGCCTGTGGCCTTGGCATCCCCAGTAGCTGGGATTCCCCATGTGGGCCCCCAGTCCCAGCCTGGAGATTTTTGTATCTAATATTTCAGGTCTGTTTCCTGCCCTAGATTGCAATCTTTGGATTAGGTATCTGAAGTCTCTTTATTTGTACTGGTACGTTGTTCCTACCACATCCCAGCCTAGCACAAGGCATGTCTTTGTGAATGGATTGCTTCACATACAAGAGAAATATCTTAAAACATTGATCAATGAAAGAAAAGAATCCATTTGATTTCTTCCAACCTAAAGAAGGGATCCTTTCCCATGGGTTTCTTTTCAAATTTCCATTCCAGACATCGGAGAATAAAAAGAAAAATGATAACATGAAGGAAGGGCTGGAAATAAAGAGAGAAAAGAACAATTAGAAACACAAAAAGATCATGGTTTAAGTATCAGCGATGAACTAGGAGTTAGTGGACTTTACACAAATGTATTTAGGGAAAGCATTACAAATTTCCAATAGCTAGTAGGTAAATCAGGATGCTATCATATTAATCTTCAATCTTATTTACAAAACCACCAGAAACAATTACAATTATGTGATATTGCTACATCATTTCAATCGAGGTGTTCTCAAAATTTAGAAGTACATTATCTTCTCAGTTCATCCTTGTAAAATAACTTTCCCAGATTTTATAAACATTAAATCTCCATAGACCACAGATATTGTATCTCTGCTTTAATTAAAAAACAAACAAACAAACGAACACTTCAGAGTGTGTTTAAGAATTGAGATTGTTGTGTACAGTAAAAAGCACAATAATTACAAAGGAAGAGTGTGCTCTTACAATTAGGAAGACCAGAAATAGTTCTCCAGTATGTTGTTCATCATCGAAGACAGTAAACATGAAAAGCTGCAAGAGGAAATAAAACCGTTAAAAAGGAAGTTTTTCATTGCATGCATCTTATCCTCATCAATTTGAATCACCCCCAAACAGCCCTGCTAGCATTTTCTCGGATTTTCCAAGGAGTGTCAGGCAAGTGTCCATCCCAAATGGCCTAGTGAGGCCTGACCTCCTTCCTCCTAGGGTCCCTGAGCTTTTGTTTGAAGCAATAGAATGTATCCATCCCTGATGGCCTGGTGAGGGAATCCGGGGGATCTGAGCCAGCCTCCCAGGACCGAGGCCACACTGTGCCTTTCTATGCCCACTGTTTCTCTCATAGCGTCCCTTCCCTTCTGTTCCCTTCCCACTGAACCTCTTCACTCTTGCACCTTCCTCTCTCCTTTTTTGTAGCAGCTGGCCAGAGGAAAAGGGACTGTATTCATATTGGATGCTTCTCTAGAATCCTGAAGGCTCAAGGGTTAGGGGCACTTGACTCACTTGCTTCTAAAGCTGAGCATGCCTGAGAGAATCTGACCGTGAAGGCTGCTCTCTTTCCAACACTCATCCCCTTCCTCCTGGCCTCTTAACCAGGGCCACATTTTCTATTACAGGTCAGTTGGAACACATTGTCCCATAAAGAGAAAATCACTGGAATCCACGAGGTGGAAAATTTTAAGCTTCCTGCATGATCTGCATGTTGCAGAACCCCAACACAGACTCAGCCTTCATAGCTGGTCATGTGTTTCTCACACTGGGTCAGACAGGGGCATTACTCACATGAAAATATAAGAACAGACAGCCAATCAGTGTGGCTTGTGGTACTAAAAAAGTGATGAAAAATAGTGGAACACTTTCAGAGTTTTCCAACACACATATAAGCACAGAGGATACAGTGACCTGGGGAAAACACAAATATGCTTGTTAATCTCTCTGAATCTCAATGTATGTTCCAAATCGAGGAGCAGCTCATCTTAAAGATATTGCATTCTGAATTTTAACTCCAACCTCATGACCCAAACTGAAATCAACACACATGTCCATTAACATTTCTCTGAGTGACATAAATAAATTCCTTGGGCCTAGAGCATCATGAATAAGATACGACTGGATAAACTTAGAACCCAATACGCAGAATATTTTCATTACAGAAAAGCAATAAAAAGTTGGCATATAGTGCTTCTTGGGGATAAAACTCAGAACAGTCAATGAGCAATAAACATAGGGAAAAACTGAAATTGATATTTTTACAGGAACAACACCACCAACAATGGAAGGAGACTTCTGGAGACTCTCTCAGTGCAGAAAGGTAAGCATTCACCAACCCGGAGTGGCTTAGGCAGACGTGTAAAACACAAAATTCAGGGACAAGAGAAAGTCACAGGAACATCCCAAGCCCTGGATCTGTCTCCTCCAAAACCTTGCAAGGGCTTCTCAAACCTTTAGCGCTTCTGATTTCTTTGTCTCACAGATCATCATTTTTTGTGGCTGTGAGAATATTTTTCTTTTTCTTTGTGTTAAAGGCACCCATGGCTTCTCACAGCCTAGAGAATAAATTCCTGAGCACATTCTTTAAGGCTAGCCATGTGCAAATTGATACACCATGATGAGGACCCCCTGTCCTCCAACTTGATTCCATGCACAGCCTCACAGATGGTGAGCCATTCCTAGGACAAGCTTGGCTTCTCTCCTGCAGGCCTGCTCACCCATTATCCACTACAGGCATCTCTGTGCTTCCCTCTATGTGTTGAAATCTTGCTCTTCTTGAGGTTTCACTTTCTTATTTGGGGGGTGGGGAGGACTGAGAATTTGATCTCAGGGTCACTTAACCACTGAGCCACATCCCCAGACCTTTTTATTTATTTATTTATTTTATTTTGAGATGGCATCTTGCTAAGTTGCTTAGGGCCTCACTAAGTTGCTGAGGCTGGCCTCAAACTTGTGATCCTCCTGCCTCAGCCTCTTGAGCCACTGGGATTACAGAGGTGTGCTAACATGCCCAGCTAGGTTTCACTTTCTAAAGAAAATCTCTGCTTTCATTTTCATAGGTAACACCCTTCTCTGGTTTCTACAAGCATCTTATCACTCCATTGTGTAACAGACTTTTAAGATAGAATATAACTCTGCAGGCAATCTTTTCTTACCACCCAGTTTTAATAAGTGGCTATTTATTATCTGCCTTTCCTCTGAGAACTCTTTCAGGATGAAACTTATATATTTAATATCTCTTTTTTTACCTATTATTAGTCTTCATTTGTGACACACTTTGGTGGAAGTCAGTAGGTACTTATTGAAGTAATAAGTTACTTTTTGTATCCTAAAGTCACAGAAAATTATATTACTCACATGTTACACAAAGTTTCCCTCCTAATTTAGACAAAAGAAGTGTGGTTTTGTGGAATTAATTTTTTCTTAGGCAGTTTGGAGAAAGTACATTCTAGTTTTAACTATGCTAGTAGTGGAATGTGTAATTGCTTAAGTTTGTGAAGGGCTTTGGATTTTCTTGTTTTGCAGTAAAACAAAGATGTAGATAGTCTCCAGACTTCCTTTTAGCTCAAAACTTATAATTCTAGAAACAATTTGGTCACCTTTAAAGAAAGACAAGAATGGAAATGGGATGGGGGAAAGATGCAGATTTTGAAAAGAATCCACATGTGAGGAAAATGTCAACTATTTTAGACTGCGATATTAATTTATTATTCTACTGAGGGTAAAATTTAAAATATTGATTCAAATCATAGGCTAAATATATAAGTGTTCACAAGAAACATACTTACAACATAGAAGCAAAATGACCAAATACCACTATTTTTTTTCCCCTTGCAAAAGGTGAATGAAATCACATATGTCAAGAAGATAAGGGACATGGCATACCCAATAGCACACAGGATCTGAAATCAACAGGAATGTGAAATTAAACACAAATGCAATCTCGGAGGACATTTCGTCTCCACAACATTGTTATGGCACAGGATTTGACAGTCACTGAATCTATGACAACATGCTACCAATAAAAGAGTTTGAATATTCAAATCCCCTAATTAAATAAAAATGCCATTTGCTTTATGGATATCGTCACTTACTTGAATGAAATAATTCACAAGCGTAAATACAGTCTCTTGGGAGTTCAAGACGTAATCCATTAAATACATAAAAAGGAAAAACAGGCAGTACAGCGGCCAGTCCACCAGCGCCTGCCCGAGCCAGTAGGCGGAAGGAAAGAGGCCCGAAATCCGCAGCAGCGACCTCACGCTGTTCTGGGTACGAGAGAGCAAAGACACAAGAGGACCTTTCAGCCTGAGTCTTCAGATAATGCGGGCCAAGTTAGAGACTGTTGAAACAAAACCCTTATTTGTGGTAGCTCTGGATCATGGCTCGTGCAGATTATTTGTGGACACGAATGTCCATCTGCTGCTTTAATGAAGGACACTAATAAGGAACACGACAAAGACCTCAGAATAACCGAGGCTAGAGGGCTGCGTGGACGATGGGTGACCTCGTGGCTCAGAGGGCAGGGGGAGGCGGAGTCCATCTGTCTCAGTCGCTTGCTTCCCACCAGGGACTCCTGTTCTGTCCCTCTGTGAAGTTCTGCATAGGTAATACTAGGTAGGATGCAGTATTAAACTACCACAGTTTTCAAACACCCCAGAAAACATTCATAATTAAATGTGACTTGATTAATTACATATACCATATAAGACATTCCCATGTAATATATAATAGTATTAGTATGTTAATTATACATTATACCTAGTAGTATATAATACATATATAATTATAACATATAATGTATACAGCAATATATAATTTCAATATAAATATATAATTACTGTGGACACTATTAATTATAAATTTTATAAAATTCATATATCATATATTGGGTATAAGTTATGTAATTAATATTATTAAGCTATCACCATGTTAATTATCACATATTATTAGTATTGTTACATATCATGCATAATTAAATATATTTTAATTATACATTGTGTATAGTATGCATGCTATACACCATTAAATATAGTATTGTATTTTATATACTTTATATATTTCATATAGAAGTATATAATCACACAAGTCACATGTAATCATGGGTATATAATTGCTTTATGCTTTCATCTGAATAAAATAAGTGAGGGTCGTTCTGTCATAGTCCACATTCATATACTCACTACCCATCCAAATACGTATGTATATGTACATAAAAGATAATCATAAATATAAATATGATTTGTATTTCTTGTTATTCTCTGAAAAAACACATTAAATTATGTATTTTCAAACTACATGACAATTGATGTGATTTTAGCACACTTATACATTGAACTATTCTAGTAATGTGGAATCATTTTTTTTCATTTTAAAAAACATCTAAATTCAGGTGTTGGTGGGCTCTGATTAGTTAGGTGATGCTCCTAACTAATTTGTAATGTGACCTGAAAATTCATATCAAAGTCTCCCAACATCACACAGGTCCATTCAGGTGGGAGAATGGATCAGGACTTGGTGATTGACTAGATACACTGAGACGAGAGGAAGGAAGGATCAACTTGGGTTGCTGGGAGGGTGACAGAGCACCTGGTACTTCTGTTGAAGAACACAGAAAATAGGAAGGGGTGATGTGTTTAAGAAAATCCCAAATTCAGTTTTGCAAGCATGAAATTTGATACTTCTCTGATACTTACAAAGGAAATGCTGAGAGGGAATCTAGAGTCACATTGAAGGTCAAAATAGAGGTCAAATTAGAGATGGTTCATGGAGTCCAATCTGTGAGTGAGCAGCAGAGAGGGAGGATCCGAAACCCTAATGGTAGATGAGCTTAGCTGGGAGACAATAGCATTGATCATGAGAAGGATGCCCCAAGCTGAGAGCTGAGGATTTCCCAACTTATACAGAGGGGTAAAAACCTCCGAAGAAACAGAGAAATGACAGACAAGGTCTTAGGATAAAGATGGTGAAATTGTGGTACAGCCAAAGAAAGTTCGTTCTGGCGGTTTCCTTAGGAGAAGTCTTAAAGTCTGGACAATATTAACTCCAGAGTGACTGACTATCAGTGACTATCGGTATCTATCACATCTGGGAACAGCATCTCTTAGGATTCCTGCAGATTCTGCCCTTGAAAGGGAACAGTACGTGGGGCATGTTCTCTTTTCCTGGGCAACGGAACTAGTTTGGGAGAGGCAGGAAGTGAAGCAGAGGAAGGTGAGGAAACAGGGATACTTCTGCAAGGTCTCATGGATTTTATATAATAGAGTAACAAAAATGGAATGTTAAAATATATTCTATTGAAATCTGTGACTAAACTAATGAGCGTAGCCTGAGATGGTCATATAAACGTGCCACCCTATGACTGCCCTTCAAGACTTGACTACTGAATCAGAATCTTCATTTTAGCAGGATGCTCGGGTGATTTGTAGACACATAAACTATTCATTTGGGTGAATGAAAAACTGTGAATCAGAATTTACAAATTGTCAGCTCAACACTGGAGTTTAACTTTTTAAAGTCTGAGTTTTCCAACATGTCATTTCCTTCTACTTCAACATTGACTTTCCAGTTAACTTTTTTGAAGTATAGTTTTCAAACAAGAATAAGTACCCATAATAAATATGCAGCTGCATGAGGCTTGATGAATGCATATATTCATTCACCACAACCATCAAGGCCTGGAGCATTTCCACTATTCTCCCAAATTTCTTGTGCTCCTTTCAAAAGCCTTTACTACTGGTTACAAAAAGACCCCCAAACAAAGCAAAAAACAAACAAACAAAAAACCCACAAACATGCCTTTAGTCACTATAGGTTAGTTTTACCTGAGAATTTCACTTAAATGAAATCCTTTAGTATTTTTTTCTTTTGCGTCTGTCTTCATTCTTGGTTCTGAGATTCCTCCACACCAATGGATTTATTATTTTCTATTCTTTTACATTGCTGAGTAATATTCTATCATATGGCCATACCAGAATTTACCAGTTCACATCTTGATGGAACAGTGGTGTTTTTTAAAGTTGTTGACTAGTATGAATAAAGCTTCTGTTCAAGTCAATGTGACTTTCTTTTTTTTTTCTTTTTTTCCAGTACTGGGAGACTGAACCCAGGAGCTCTTAGCCACTGAGCCACATCCTCCTAGCCCCTTTGATATTTTATTTTGAGACAGGATCTCACTAAGTTGCTGAGTCTGGCTTTGAACTTGTGATTTTGCTGCCTCAGTCTCCCATGCTGCTGGGATTACAGGTGTGCACCAACACACCTGGCTTTTATTTCTTGAATACTCAGGAGAAGAGTTGCGGAGTTGCAGCAGGAGGTGTATTTTTAACTTTACAAGAAACAGTCAAATTGCTTTGCAAAGTGATGGTCATCAGCTGTGCATGAGAGGTACTAGTTTCACCACTCCTCAAAAAACTTGATTTCTCCAGTCATTTCAACAATATTCATGTTATGTAGAAGTATCTTGTTGGGGTAACTTTCTTATTACTCATAGTTTTAGCTATCATTTCATGGCAGTATTTTCCATCTGTCTGTCTTTGGTGAAGTATCTGTTTAAATATTTTGCCCATTTTTAAAATTGACTTATGTTCACTACTGAGGTATCAGTTCATTACGTATTTTTGATAAAATCTTTTGTCAGATACATAAGTAGTATGGACATTTTTCTATCAACCTGTGACTTGACTTTTTTTTTTTCTTTATTGGTGTTTATACAAGGAGAAGAAGCTACTTTTACTTTGATGAAGTTCAAGATTATCTCTTTTTTTCCCCTTTTATAGTCTATAGTACCTCTTTCTCATCTAAGAAATATTTGCCTACCCCAAGGTCTATGATTCATTGCAAATTAATTTTGTGTCTGATGTGAGGTTTGTGCTAAGATCACTTTTTTTTTTTTCTCATAATGGTATCAAGCTGTCCCATCCCAATTTGCTAAAAAGTCTAGCCTTAACCCCGAGGGAGATAGGGACCGGCTTAAGCAGCCAGGACAAGAAGATGAGTAAGGAGGTCTGGGCCAGGGCCAGAAAAAAGGAACATGGAGAGGGTCTTCCAAGGAGGCCAACTTCCTGCTTGACAAAAGTGTGTGTGGACATATGCGGGGGACCCAATCAGACAGACACTTCTATACTTGTGTCCCTAAGCATGGGATCCAATAGAAAAACTAAAACAGACACATAGACAGAGGGGGCACCAATGAATGACAGCGAGGGGCATGTGGACAGGGGAGGAGACAAGGAGGAAACTCCAGAGACCATGAAAAGAACAACCCAAATCTCCTCCACTGGACTCCTGGCTCAGGGGCCCCTTCTCCTTGAAGAAGTCTGTCTCTGTAGCTTTTGCAATAAACCTGCCGCTTGCTTGCTATCTCTGTGTCCTGTTCTTCAATTCTTTGCTGAACGGAGACAATAAACCCAACACCCCTAGAGGGTAACAGCCTCAGGTGAGCTTCTGGGCAGTTTTACTGAAATCAGCGGATGATATTATATGTGTGCATTTATTTTTGAAATGATTATTCCATTTCAGATACCTGTGAGATTATTCTTAATTAACACAACCTGTTCTTAACGACTGTAACTTTGTAATGAGACTTAAAAGTCAGAAGCTCAAATGTTCTAACTTTTGTTTTTTCTTTTCCAAAGTTATTTTGTCTATTCAAGGTTCTTTGTATATCTTTAGAAATTTTAGAATCATTCTCTATTATCCATTTATTTATATATACTTATATTTCCACTTATGAAACTTCCTATTATTTTAATTCAGTAGAATTTATGCCTGAATTGAATGCTCAATTATATATGCATAAGTATCTTCATGGAAAATCTTATATTACCATTATCTGCTAATTAAACAATTTAGTGGGAAATTTCATTACTCATTGTTACCTTGTAATCATCAATGCTGCTCATGGCAATGTAAGGAGGGCAGCTGGATGCCAAAACCAGCCAGAATAAGGTGTATCCCAGGATTTCAAATGGATTATCCCATATTCTCTGGAAAAGCAAAGAGCACAATGAACTGAAGTAGGGATTTCTAAGTTCATTTTCTGCAATAAAATTTCAAACATTAATCAATGTTAATGTTTTTATGGAATCCTGCTGCAGGTTCCTATTGAGATTCTCAGTCCTTTCATTATTATTATAGCTTTGAAGCTTCACTTTTAATCTTTTGACTTTATACTCAAATTTATAGGTAAGGAAATCAATTCAAAGAACATGCACACGTTAATCATATCCCACAGTTGGAAAGTAGTACCAGCAAACCTCTCCTTAACCCTCTCCTTACCTTAGCATTCTAAACTTTATTCTGATGCTAAGTAATAAGTGATAATTCAGAGTCAACACTTGGAATTTTCTAATAGGTCTTATTTAGAATGTGATAGCCTACCTAAATCAAATACCATATTTCTCAGCCAGTGAGAAGTCATCCCAGTTAACATCGAGAGACCAGATCAATCTTGGTTGAGGATTCACAAGTAGAGGTGAAGTACGAGAAAGGAGAATGAAAGCATGGGAGAAAATTTATTGCTGTTCCTGATCGTGACCCTCTTTAAGGATGGAATAATTGCGAATTGTCTTGGAAGTCAATGCAGGGGTAATAACCACATCCCGGTTATCTTCAGCTGGAGCCTCAGAATGACTCTTGCTAACCACAAAATCAATCATGACAGTGACATTTACTGTCATGCTCCTGGTGCACACAGAGTGTGGGCCCCTTCAGGCTTCAGTGTGAAACCATTGACTCTGGGTGGGACAGGGGCATGGCAGTCTGAAACTCCAGGTAGCTCCTACTTTGGGGACAACGAGAAGGTAAATTTGAACAACCAATAAAACGAGTTGCTGGAGATAGAGTTTAAAGTAAATCTGTGGGGTACATAAATACAAGATGAACTAGCCGGCTGGTATTAGACTCAGTCTAGTTAAAATAGGATTCCCCTAGAGAGGGAATTTACTAAATTAGGTATCCTGCTTTAAGAAAGTTGAGAAGACCTTCGCAGTTATTAATGGTTAAATGAACTGTTAGGTGCAGGACAGGCTGAGTAAGCTGTCTGCAGGGCATGCCAAACAAAGTTAGCTGCAGGATGACCTGGCCACTCAAACCCTCTGTCTGGTTCTTTATCAACTATTTGCTTCAAGTCCAAACGCCCAAGCCCCGGCTCAAGGCTGAACACTCAACCCCCTGCTCAAAGCCGAACACTTAACCCGCCTTGTGCCAACAAGGCAGCTTGCAGACCCAAAGACCTCATTAGATTTGGGCTATAAAAACTCCCTCCTGCCGGGCCCCTCTCTCTCTGTTGCTTTCTCTATCTCTCTCTTGCGCACGCTTCCTCTCTCTCTCTCTCTTTCTCTCTTTCTTTCTTTCCTCCTCTGTTGCACTGCTGCAATAAAGATCTCTTGGTCGCTCCGAGTGTTGCGGTCACTTTTCTTTCATGAACCATCACAGCACACATTCTAAGATTAATTAATGCTCAATGTGTGACTAAAACCTTTGGCTTTAATTATTAAATTCCTTAAGCACCCTTAATGAAAGACATCTTTATTTCCTGAGCATATAATGAGATGGTATGAGAAGGTGACACAAAATTTTTTGTTGAGCATATGAAAATAATGATGGATATGTGGTTCATTCTGTATAAAAATGTGTAAAGGATCAATGTCCATCTATATTATCATAGAACTCTAGAGTTGTGTGAGATGGAAACAATTTGAGGACCACTTGCATCCATTTGTGTCTTTAACAAATAAGTTATTTAGTGCTTATTATGTTCTACACCTTTTCCTAAGTACAAGATATTGATACACATGTGTTTAAGAAATACACGATCCCTGTATCTCCAAAGGGGTGAAATTATTTATGAAGTAAACAAATCATTATAAGCTATCATAGTTACTCTGTTTTCCCAACTTAACGGGCTGTGTGCATTCCAGTCTCCTGGGCCTTTGTTTAGAAACAGGAATTTTTTCATCCTGTATTTGGGAAAGCTCGCCTAGTAGGTCTAAGGAAGGCCAAAAGAATGAATACTTTGGACAAGAACCTGGCCTACTTCTAACGTCAACAGTGTGCAATTCCAGGCTTAACTTTGTCCTGAATTTTCTTCTTTTGTAGCATTTCTTAAAGTTGTGAAAACGTCACCCTTCTCCTTCCTGCCTGCCATCCTGTCTGCTTTCCTCTAGTACCTCCTCGTTTTTCTGGTTCATTAATTTTTTTTGCTAGTCACAGTGCCACACAATTTCACTTTTTTGTGGTTTCATCTTTTTCTTTGGAAAATGTCTTGTTAGTTCTACTTTGCATTTTAAAAACATTTGAAACTCTAAAAAAGTAGATTGAATTTTCCAGAGCTGCAGAAACAGCATGAATCCAAATGTTAATGTATACCAGTGTGGTTCACTCACCAAGAATTAGATGCCAGCTCTGAAAAGCACGATCTGGGAGGAGAGTCCGTAAGAGTTATACTCACCCTCAAAAATGTGCTCCACTCAGTTTGAATATGTGCTGATGGTGTAACCATTCCAAGTAGCCCGTTACTAACAACATCCATGAGAACTGGGAAGCAATTCAGTCTTTTGGTATTGCATGCTAATAAAAAGTCGTATTTCTAAAACACAGACAAGTTTACGAATTAGCAAAGATCTTTGTGGTTTTTTTTTTCCCCCATAGAAGCCAAAATTTAATACTTTCATTTGAGATCACTTTTCAAAATTTTGGGGTTTTTTTGTTGTTTGTTTGTTTCTGTTTTTTTTTTTTTTTTTTCTCAGTGCTGGGATACAGCCCCGGGCTTCACACATGCTAGACAAACGCTCTACCACTCAGTCACATTTTCAGCCCCAAGATTATGTTTTTAATGTGGTGCCAAATAATTTTTTAAAATTCACAAACACTTTGTAAGCAAAAAATACTGTGGAAATAAAAACAAATACTAGTATAAAAGAAAACATGTATATAGTAAACAAACAAACAAACAAACCATGCATTTGATTTTCAGGACACTAGTGTCTTGCTTAGGGATAGAATCAGGTTTTGGGTGTTTATTGTTTAGAATGAATCAGAAGTTCCAGATATATGTATTAGAAAGCTCCTTGAGAGAAACTACAGATTCTTTCACATAAATGTACACTTGACAAGGGGTATTTTTACACTATGAATGTTGCTAATATACACAGTTTGTATTGGTAAATAGTGATAGATATATAAATTTATCATGTATTATACCAAGGAATGCAATTTGCCAAGTAAATGAAACAGTACTTGTTTTTCATTTTTGCTTTTTAAATTGGAGGCTGGAGTACATTCATATTATGTTATCTTCCCACACCTTTGGTAAAATTACTAAATGTAGACCAGCATACCTTTTCATTATGAAATACTATAATGGCTCCATTATAAGAAGAGTCATCTATACCATTTCTAGTTCCAGCTGCATCTACTTCCACAGCTATGCTCTGGCGCTCCACGGCATGGACAAACTCATCAATGCTCGCCCCTGAGATGTAATTTAACAGATATTTACAAACTTAAAAAAATTAATCTCAATTTGTGTAGTTATGTTACAATGTCTTTTAATGTCACTTACTATAACATGGACCGTGAGGATATTTTCCACCTGGTAACATGCCTGCTTCTGTGAATTAAGAATCTATGCATTTCTCAAGGAGTTCACTTTGTATGAGTATTTGCTTGTGCTTAGATAATGCACAAATCTTTAAAAATACCACATGGTTTTTGAAATTGTTTTTGTTTTCTCCTAGAATCTTGGAATGGAGGTTTTAGTGACAGATAATTCCTACTAACTAATTAACCATCAAATTTACTAAAGCTCACTTTACTACTGAGTAAGATAGATAGATTAATTAATTAATTAATTATTTGAAATCCAATAAGATTATTAATTGGATTTCAAAATGCCTCTTGATAACAGGAAAGCAACCTGTTGAATGGTGATTATATGAAAGACTCCACAGCCCTCTCCTGCAGAAGAATGACTAATAACTATAAAAATTACTAAAAAGAAAAACCCAACTAGTAAAAATCTCTGGAAACTGTCCCAAGGGTATATAGAAAATGAAGAAATATTTATTCAAGCAAATCTGCTAAAATTTGGTAAGAACTCTTTCTGAACAGGTCAGTAAGCACACGAAGAGATGTTCAACACCAGGAGCCTTAGCAAAACACCGATACAACCCACAGGGTATCGCTAGACACTCTGTGATGGGTGGAATAAAAAGACAGGAAACAATGAATGTCGGCAAGCCTATGCAGAAATTAGAACCCTGGTGTGAATATAAAGTTTTTCACTTTGAAAAATAGTTTGGACATCCTTAAAGTTACATCATCTTGTAACCCAACAATTGTATTCCTAGGATGATCCCCCCCCCAAAATGAATACTTATGTTCACACAAAGAATGTACAGATTAACATTTTTAAAAGCAATATTTATATAACTAATTAATGGGGGAAATTATCCATCTGTGATGGGTGACTAATAAAATGTGGAGTCTCCCTCCTACAGAATATTATTTAACAATTTAAGACTAAAGTATTAATCCATGGATCCATACTACATTTGAAACACATCATTACCTGTGTTATTGATGATCAATAATCGAGTGAGAGGGTCCCATGGCTGTTGTCCAGGAGCCAGGAAGTACAGATGAGGAGACAGTTCCAAAGTGTAACTATTTTGATGAACTTTCACCAAGATATACTCCAAAAAAAGAGGGGAAAATCCAACCACCAGAATCAACAACCTGTATGGGATAAAACTGCCAATGTGAATCAATGCACCATCATTTCCTAATTTTTAGAAGGGTCTGAGCAGATTGCAATGTACTGAGGTCAAGAAATTGTGAAAATTAAACACAGCTCTCTGCTCATTTCTTGAGTATTTTGTCCTTTTTCCTCCTAAATTGGAGGGGAGAAACTGTAGATTTATCCTTCCCTTCCCTTGCTCTGGCCTTTGGGCAGCCCATACCCCTCCGTGGGATGTGTCCTGTCCCTCATGCTCAGGTCCTGCCTGCCTCCCATGCTCCAGAGCGATGCTCTTCCCTCTACCAGCCATTCCTCAACACCTTGCCCATGACTTTCTTCATGTCCACTCCTCTTCTTATACTTGGGAGTGATGTGATTTCTTTAGTTTCCAGGCTCAAATCTTTAATTATATTTTAGTCTTTATTTTCCTACATTCTCCATTCAGATAAATCGAAATATCTTCTTATACGGCCATTCTGTTTCTTCAAAACCTTTCCCCATCCTTAATTTATAATAACATTTTGTCTGAAGTCAGCAAAATGACGGGCATCTCTTTATACTTCACTCTCTCTAGACTGGTATGTAGTGTTTCCAGTTTAATAGGGAAGGTTTATTCTTAAATCTTGCTCAAATTCTCATTACTTATTTCTTTAGCAAATATTTACTGAGATTCAATTGTGTGGCAGGCTACCGACCTCCTTATTCCTAAAGCAAAATACAGTGTTCAGAGACACGGCATTGATTGACAGCCGAGGTACGATGGGTGTTAAGGTACAAAAGGAGATGATGTGAGTTTGGGAGCAGGGACCGTGTCTTCTGTGCACAGAGTCGGGAAGGAGAGTGAACTGCTTATACCGACTGGAGGGGAATCTCGACATCTAGGGAAGAATGAGTAGGATAACCACTAAGATAGATCCTGGGAAAGAGGACCACTTCCTAACACGTCTGCCACCTGTCATAGTGCAGAATTTAAGTGAGAAGAAATATTACAGGGAAGTTCACAGCATTCCAACTTTTCCTCTAGAATTGTCTCTGGACCTGTTAGTCCCCTAATAGAAAACCACTAGACCACTGACTAAATAAATATTATACTTTTTCCAGTTTTGTAGACACAGGAAATTAAAACAAAAATTTCCCTCTTATTTTTACCCCTTAGTTATTTTCCACACATCAGCTAAAGGGAAAACTCTGCGGCACTCTGATACTCACAGTGATAGAAGAGCTTTTCTTTCGTGCTTCAACTTTAGCAAAGGAACCTTTGCAATTGCACAGATCTGTCGACCCCAGAGAGCCACGCCCCCTACTGTCTTTCTCATCTCCATAAGTGAGGAGAGAATTTGTTCCATCTCAACAAGTCTTTCTGTGTCCCCACCTCTTTCCCCTTGTGCTTCTCCTAGAATGTTGACACCTGCAAACCACAAAAGAAACAATTTATTAAATCCCACTTCAGATGTGTAATATTGAGCCTACAGCATGAGCTTGTTTGACGGTAATTCGAGTCTTTTCCTGTAGACATGGCCTTCCTGGCTGCTGCCTTGAGCTAGGGAAATATTTACAAGATTTGTTTTTTGAACAAAAAGAGGAGTGGAAAGAAGCTCCTAGATAATTCGAATATGCACTGTACATTAGAGAGATGAGATTAAAAATGCAAGGTCATTTTAGTGCCTCGTGTAATTTGCAAATTTAGTAAAGAAAGCAATCTTCTGTGTGTTCACTTAGAGAAGCAAGCTACAGATTGACATGCTACACACAGGGAGTGAACTATGAATGATAAGTTATCCACCTGGGGGTCAATTATAAATCGTCATTACTGGAGAGATTTAAAATGTGCACAGTGTTTGAGGCTGCACTCTTCTACCCTTTGCACATTCTCTGCTATCTCTAGGTCCCCAGGAGGCTGCCCACTGTACAATGCTAAAATAAACCCGACTCAAAGCCCCAGAAATGCACAGAAAAATTCACACTCTGACATAAAGATCTTGAACAAGATAGCGGTGAGACGCACATTAAAAGAATCGTTTTAAATAATAGATATTTGTCATTTTTAATCCATTAGAAAGATGAGGGCATCATGAAAACTAAAAAGATTAACTTTCATTAAAAGAGAAGCTATTTCATTCATAGGGGAGAAGATTCCTATGTCTGCATTCATCCTTAGGGACAGGGCAGAAGGAGAGCCCACCAAAGGCATGGACAAAGGGCCAACAGCAGGATGAAACAAACCCTTATGGTCACATTTGGGCTACCGTACCCATCTAGAATCACGTGGTGCCAAAGTCACAAAATGAGTCCACGCTCTCTACCAATTCTTTCCCAAGGGGGCCCTTCACCAAGTGCATGCGAACAGTGCACCAGAGGTTGGGGCAGAAGGAAAAACAGAGAGGGCCACATGGAGGTGCCCAGGGTCTCCTGCAAGACATGAAGGCAAGTGGGGCTCTCTGTGTGAATTACAGCGTCCACCAAGAGCCAGCCCACAGAAGGGGTAACTGAGGACACATGGGCCTCTGCTGGGTATAGCGCTGGCCACTTCAGTGGCCATGCTGAAGTCTGCGTAGAGGATGGTAAGGTGGAGGGAGAGCTGGGGCAAAGTTTGATTTAAGTGGAGAGTAGGGCTCAGTACCCAGTGGTCAAATAAACCAATAAATTTTTAAAATGCAATAAAATAGGGTGGCAGGCACAAAGTCAAGGAAATTTCTGCTGCTGGAGGATTTGGTGGAGGGGGTGGTGCCGAGAACAGTCAGGACCCCTGTTCTGAAAAAGGGCAGATGCACTCTTGGAGCTTCGTAGCCTAACAGCCTTTAAAAAGAGGATGTGTGCTTTTCCCTACTTCCCTACCCTAACTTGGAGGTTGTCAGATTCCAAAAGCTTGGTATATGCCTTGCTCACTCACCCTTAAACATTTTCAGCTTCAAAAACCAGGTGCATCAGTAAAGCCAGTGATAAACAACCCAAAGGACAAAACCGTTGAGGAGACACCAAAGTAGGAAGTTCCCGGGCCCTGAACCTGTTATTTGCATGATTTGTCTTCTCTTAAAAGCTACAGGGACTCATCCTTACCACAGGCAAATGCAGCATCATTAGGAGAGAGGTGATTTTGACTCTAGGACAAGGAAAAACACCTTTAGAAGGCACCCAAAGGCAATTAATATGGCTAAACTCTAGCCCACCCCTGCAAGCAACCCTTTCCCATGAATAACACTCAGCTTCTCCCTTTGTCAAGAGCCAGCCCCACAATCCAGATTTCCACACTGCTCTCTGGCTCTGCCTCCTTTCTCCGAATTCCCAGCAAAAGCATCACCTGTGTGTTTGCATCCATGTGATTCGATTTCACTCTCACCCACACTAACTCAGAGATTCCTGTAGGTCTGTAGATCGCAGAGAGATCTGAAGAGTTTAGCATTAATGCTGTAACTCAAGGTCATTCCGAAGGGAAAGATTTGATTTGACCTTCAAATCATGTGGAAGTGGGAAAGGAGGAAAAGCTGTCCAAAAGTACACATACTTGCCAAATACAGATCAGGTCAATCTAGTGATCTGTATCAGCATCCTGACAGAAAAAAGAGTCAACTCATTTTTCTGGGCATTGCTTTCTTCAGTCTTTACTGTTTTGTTGTGTTTATTATTATTTTTTTAATATGTCGATGATATAAGAAAAAATATAAGATATGAGAAGAAGCAGGAAATGTGACCGAGAGAGAAAAGAAGAATAGTCAAAATCATTACTGATGTGGGTCATCAGTGATTGTGGTCCAAATGTTGGGTTTAACACACATGGGTTTAAAAATATTTATGATTTATTCCAAGATCCACTGGAAAATATGAAGGATATCAGTGAGCCAATAAGTAAGTTCAGTAGAGAATCTGAAACTGTTAAAATATGAACAAATGGAAACATTCTGTTAAAAGATACAGTATCAGGAATAGAGAGTTTAATAGTTGGGCTTCAGAACAGTCTGAACAGAAGACAGCTGTGATTTTGAAGACAGGCAAACCTACATTGTCCAATTACTTTCCTTTTTATTTTTTAGACATTGTCCAATTTCTAACACAAAGAAAAACAAAGATTGGAAAACCTAACTGGGGAATCTAATGCCTGTGGGGCAGCACCAGATGTCTAAGATTTTTTTTTTTTTGCTCAGTATAAATTGCACCCACAGATCCAAAGAATTCAAAAGTCCCAAATAAGAACTGATAGAAGGTGCTGTTTAAGCTGATCATAAATTATACTAGATAAAATATCAGGCGGGAAGAGTTAGGAGCCCAATAGAGACATAATGTATGGGCAAATAAAAGAGAACATTAAAATCGGTTATATTCTCTCTCTGACTCATTTCTATCAATCAATCATCTATCTGTAGCTCTTCAGATAAAGATACTGATTTACAGATATATAAGTGTATGTGACTTGGGTGAGAGTTTAATAATAATAACTGAGAAGCACATATAATTACAACGCATGATAGGAAATATCAAAAAGGAAAAGGGAGGAGATAAGTGTGTTCATTTAAAGGTAGTTGTATTTTGTGTGAACCAGTATAGCAATGCTGGAGTATAGTATACAAATAAATTTTTCTAGTGACCATGAAAAATAACACACCAAAAAAACCACAGCTAAAAAGGAAATAAGGAAGCAAGTTATTTACTACTAATAAAAAATCATGGCAGGAAGGAATAAAAAAGCAAAGACTAGAAGGGACCAATATGATAGATATAAACATAACCATAGCAATAATCACATTAAAAGAAATAAGAAATAAAAGAAAAATCAGGGATGTAGAAGAAGGGGATGGGGGGAGGGAGGAGGGACAGGATAAAACAGTGGAATGAATTTGACTTGACTTTCCAAGGTACATATGTGAGGATACTACAGTGAATCTCACATTATGTGTATCTACAAGACACTAATTTTATAAAAAGCATAAACAGGAAGATCAGTAAAATAGAGGAAAGGGAATAGGTGCAAGGGCTTTTTAAAGTGACCATGTATGACAACCTTGTCTCATCAAATTGAACACATCATTAAAGATGCAAACATTATAAAAGAGAGCCCAATAAAATTTTTAGAGTTGAAAATTGTACCAACTGAAAGTGAAAAATTTACCAGCAGAACTTAACATATTTCAGCAAATAGAACAATCGGTGAACATGACAGAAGTAAAATTGAGATTAGTCAGGGTAAGGAACATAAAGTAAAAGGAACAAAGAAAATGAAGAGTCCCAGAGAAATGTAGGATGTTACCAAGTCACCAATAAACAATGGCAGTGTCCGAAGGAAAGGAGAGGAAGGAAAGAAATGAGGCTAAAAACTTCCCCAATTGGATGAAAAACACTAATTTCCATATCCAAGTGTTTTGGTTTAGATGTGAGGAGTCCCCCAAAAGCTTACATGTGAGACAATGCAAGGTTTGGAGGTGAAATGATTGTGTTATAGCCTTAACCTAATCAGTGGATTGATCCCTGATGGGATTCACTGAGTGGTGACTGGAGGCAGGTGAGGTGTGGCTGGAGGAAGAGGTTCACTGGGTGTGTGGAAGAGGTTCACTGGGTGTGTGGTTATAATGTATATATTTGTGTCTGGCAAGTGGAGGCCTCTCTCTCTCTGCTTTCTGATTATTATGTGAACTGGTTCCCTCTGCCATACCTTGAGTCCTGAAGAATGGAGCCAGCCACTGATGCACTGAGACCTCTGAAACTGTGAGCCCCTAAATAAATCTTTCTCCTCTACAGTTGTTCTGGTTGGGTCTTTTAGTCACAAAAGCAAAAAAAAAAAAAAGCTGACTAAAACACCAAGATGCCCAACCTACCCCATGTAGGATAAATGTAAAGCTCTAAAGACATGAACAAGCTGTCCAAAGCTAGTCAGAAAAGAGAATATTGAAAGCAGCAAGAGAAAATGGCTCATCATAACAAGACATCCTCAATAAGTTTAAGAGCTGACTTCTCAGAAACCCTGGAGGGCAGCACACAGCAGAATGATGCAGAGTGTGCAGACAGGAAGATAAGAAGGTTCTATCTGAAATTGATCTTGGGATGTGAGGAGGGCAATGACCCTTGGATGCAGGAAATCGAGCTATGCAATCAGTCAAGGCAATATTGACAGAGGACACAGCTCATCTTTGCATAAGCCTATCTGAGAAATGCGTTAGTCATGGAAACCAACGTTTCGCAATCACATCTTTGGAACAGGGTCTTCTCGAGCTATGAACTGCACTGCATGAGTATTTTCACACAAAATTTTCATGCATTTTATTTACCTGATTCATCGAGCGCTGATTTTCCTTCTAGCTTCAGGAACACTTCATTCAAAGTTGTCATGGAAACACCATAATTCTCAATTCCTAGGCCAGGATTGCTATCAAGATCGGTGTAAAGTTCTAAAGAAAACAATCAGAGCAGTGAATCAAAACAGCAAAAGCCATGAGCAAACTAAGGACATCTTTCCAAATTAAATAAATAAATTATATGAAGTTATGCTTAAGATTTGTCTAAGATTTTTAAAATTAACATTTCATAATAAATAATCTTATTCTTCAATCCATGTATTTTCTATTTCACCCAAATATTACTCTCATGGTCAAATATTAGTTTATATTCATTTATGTTTCTATTATAACGTCATTCTAGATTTTTCTGATTTAGTTAATTATGAAATTTTGGACTTCTCAATGCTAAACTTTTTTACTTAAAGATTATTTTTTCCCCCAGATAACAGATACAAATGGGAAACATTCATGCTGTTACCAACAGAAGAGAAAGAACATATTTTTTGAGAATTAGGTAGATGGTTCAAAATCTTCTTCAGTTCTCAAAGCACCTGTCAAAGGACAGACGGAGGAACTAAGTCATTTTAAAATTAGTTTCTGTTTCTGAAAAATAATTCCCGAGTTCTAATAGAGAATGAAGAATCGACTTAGAATTTCTTGGGCTAGTAGGAAAGTATGATAGCAGAGATTCCCTCTAGCAATTTTTGTATCCGTTCCTTCTTTAGTTCATTTACCTAAAAATACTATGGCATCAATCATTGTTCATAAAACCAAGAGCAATGTCCCTGCCTGCATGGATTTGAATTATAGTGGGTAATTAAGCTTAAGCAAAAACACGATTCTAAGACTAGAGTGATTATAGAAGACCCGAGGCTTCATTCTGGAGAGTCCAGTGACAGAAGGATGTTAGAAGCGTCCAGTCTCAGCTGGAATATCTTACATGGAAAGGTAGAAAGGAAATTTGAGTGCTAACAAGTACCATGTGTTATTCTTCATTCTACCTAAAACTATTACAAACTTTCCCTATATTTTAATTACTCTTACAATACACTACAAACACTTTGCTGAATGCTTCTAAGGAATATTTATGTTATAAAATGTATATTTGAGTGACTTTATAGAATAATTATGTGTCTTTGTTAACCACACATATGGCAAGGCTAATTGATCCAGCCACTCAATGTCAGCCTTCATGGTCATGGAACAGAAGGATAAACAGAATTAGTAAACGTCTGTCCATTAGCCTGGAAAGCTCAAAGTTATCACAACGGCCTGGCCAAGAGAAATAGTTATATCATGGGGCTAATTAACATAGTTAAGCTAGAGGTTTCAACCATTTGTGTTCATGTACAGTTATGATTACTAGAATGTTCTGCTATATACCACCAGGGGAACAGAATTAAAAGAAGCTCTCTAAAAATGCACAAGCATTACTATCACAATATAATAATATTTCCCACTATAGGCAGTTGTTATTTGACTATTGATCTGATTACATTTAAATATCTGAACAACATCATAAGTTCTCAATGAGTGTTAGTTATAAAAGTTACCATTATTTTTATTATGGATATTATTTATATACTAATTTCATGTTTCTATAAACATTACCTGGAAAACTATGGGTTGTTTCTAAGGGTAGTGTATAGACAAGCTTTCCTTCACTTTCTGCTGATAATTTGGCATCAGGGATGTGCTGTTTAACAAGGGATGTTATCTTTTCCCGAGCACATAGTTCATTCAACTGCAAACTGGCGTTAAAAAAAAAAAAAAGGTATGTTTTTTGACATAGTCTCCAATAGCATGAAAATCAAGTCTAATCTCTATAGGACAAAGAAAACCAGCTAATATCTAATGCAAAAAAACGGGACATGAAAACATTAAATAAGAGGACAAAGATCCCAATCATATAAATGTAATGTGGGGAAGCAAAGATGAAGCTAAACAGAATTACTGGTCATATTACTGAGGGATGGTGCCCGGAGAAGATCAATAGTGATTCAGGTCCTTAAGTGGAGAATAACTACATGGTAGAAATACTAGGAATGCAACAAAGATCAGGAATAAGCAAGATGGATAATGTTGACAATTATGTCTAACCGAGGAAGTTTAAGTTAGCTAAATAGGATTATCGTACTGGTTTGAAAGAACAAGAGACTTTTGATAGTCATAGATGCCAAACAGGTACTGTTATTGAGTTAATCATTCAATGCAAATTTCTTAGTATGTGATAAACATCACCCCACTAAGTGCTCAGGGTACAAGGTGAATAAGACAACATTAGCCAGCACTTATGAAATTATCTAGTCAGGGAGACAGGAAGAAAACAAACAGATAAGTAAACTAATTATCAATAGTAGTAAATGCTATGAAGGAAACTGGGTTATAGATAGAAACTAATTATGGATGAATGTGGGCTTAGGGAGCTGGGATCCCCAATTTTAGCTTTCTTTCTAGTGTCAACCCCAAAACTTTGAATAAGAACAAAATATCATTGAGAAGTCTAGCCATTCAAACACACCATACTATTTTCCCATTATAGGAAATAAAAATTGAACAATCAAGGTTAGTAAGTATATAGTAGATAACAATATGTCATGATTTTACTTTGAATCTTAGTTTTTGCCATTTGAAAAATCTAATTTAACCTATCTCAGCAGTTTCCTCATTAGTAAAATAGAATAATGATTTCTAACATTTAAGGTTGCTAAGAACTGAAAAATAGGGATGCTAACACTTAGCCCTTAAAAATGGTTGCTGTTTTATTGAGCTAAATGCTTCAGTCAGAATTATTCCATTTACTCATAAGGCATGCATGAACTTATAAGAATATGTATTATTCCTAGAAGTAGTGAAACCCACTGAGGGAATCTGCCATGAAATAGAACAAGCTATAAACATTTCCTGGCCCCTTACAAGAACTTGAGCTGGGTGTTCTGGAGGACTTTGTAAGTGGTACACAGTGTCTTTCCTCAGGAGCTTATCCGTCGGAAGGCAGGCTTGGCAAACTTTTTCTGTAAATGGCTGGGTAGCAAATAGTTTAGACATTGCCTGAAAAGTCTAGTCATGTGTTTCAACTCTCTGTTGTGTCTCAGAAGCTCTGTAGGCAATATGTAAGAGAATTGCAAGCCTGGGCTCAATCAAAACTTCATTTACAAAAACAGGAAGGGGGCTGAATTTGGCTCACAAGGCCATAATTTGTTAACCTCAGGCTTTGAAGAAGAACATGAAGCAATTATGCAAATTACTGTCCAGAGGCCCATGGAAAGAGTCATGGGCAGGGAATCTTGACTAGCACCTTTATTTTGAGAGCATAGGTATGTCCTCAATATTACACAAGATTCTAAGCAACATCTCATTTATTTTTCTATAACCTTTACTTATAATCTGGGAGTTATTACTCCCAGTTTATAAGTGAGAAAACTGAGTTTCAAAAAGTCTAAATAACTTCTAAGAAAAAGTGCAAACTAAATGCTTCAGGGAATTAAAAACAAAATTGGGACATCACACAAAACAGGAAGATTATCAAAGTGTGCATGAGATATTATCCATTTAACTCTTTAGGACTTAAACAGGTGGAAATGGGTTCAACAGCTAGCCTCAAAAAAAAAAAAAAGTGTAGATCATGGTAGGACATGCATAAGGAGCAATGACTATTTCACTTTAACTAAAGGGTATTGAATTGGGTCAGGGTACATGGTATGGGAGTCATGACAGACGGGTCACACCAGCATTATTTGGCTACATGGTTTGGATTCTGGTAGGTAAAATTTCTGAAGTTTGTTTGTTATGTTTTGTCATTTTATCTTTATTTTCTTTTTTAAGTATAAATGATATAAATCAGAACTAACCAATTAATTTAAAAATTAAAACATGGTCTTGGACACTAGATTTGAAGCTAAACATATTGAGAATCAATTCGTGGCTCTACCACACAACAACGTAGTGTTATGGTTTGAACGTGTCTCTCAAAGTTCACGGGCTGGAAATAATCCCAGTGCAATGGTGTTGAGATGTGGAAGCTTTGAGAGGTGATTAGGTCATGAGGCTCTCTCTTCATGAATGGATTCATGCCATTATCATAGAGGTGAGTTAGTTATTGTGGGAATGGATTCCTGATAAAATGATGAGTTTACCCCCTACCCTGCCCTGTGTGTGATCTCTTGCCCTTTCTCCTTTTACCATGGGATGATGCAGCGAGAAGACCCGTGCCAAGTGTGGTCCCTCAACCTTGGACTTCCCAGCCTCCAGAACTGTAGGAAATAAATGTTTATTCTTTATAAATTACCCAGTCTCAGGTACTTTGTTCTAGCAGCACAAAATAGTCAGTCTAAGACACATAGGGAGTACATAATTTTATCTGTAAAGTAAAAGTAATGATGATTCCCATCTCAAAAATAAAAGATTGAAATAAAATAATGTTAAGTATCATCCAAATAAATAACAACTCTCACATGCTACTATTCAAAACACTAATAATTGAGAAGAATGGAAAGGAGAAGGTCAAGAAAAAGGAGGAAGCACCGAAGGAATTGGAAGCAAGTAGGAAATTATATTAACACCCTGGGTGAGAGATGATTAGGGTATGAAAGAATATATCAGTGAAAAAGTTCCCTTAATACATGTTTCCATAGACCATGCATTCTGAATATATTTCCTAACACACATTTATCTAAACTTCTGTTGCCATCTTATATTCTCAATCTCAGGCGTCTCCAAAGTCGTCAACTCTCACATATACATGATTTCTGTATCAATAGCTCAGTACCTGTTTGGCATCTATGACAGATATGTGCATGTGGGTGTGCAAGCACTTGGATATAATGAACACAGATCTTCTTGGCATGTTTGTTTCCATCTCCATCAAGCCTCTCTTTTACCAAAAGAACCTTCCCTGGGGGCCCTACCTTAGGTGATAACCGATCCCCCACTTTTTCTTCAGAAACAATGAAGAACCCGCACACTTCAGTTTCCCTTTGGAGAGAAACACTTTCCTATCTGAAAAGGAAGAATCAAAGAAGAGAGTTTGATAGGCAGTTTTTTTTAATTGATTTTATTTTTTAAATACACGACAGTGGAATGTATTACAATTCTTATTACGCATATGGAGCACAATTTTTCATATCTCTGTTTGTATATAAAGTATGTTCATACCAATTCATGTCTTCATAGATGTACTTTGGATAATGATGTCCATCACATTCCACCATCATTGCTAACCCCCTGCCCCCTCTCTTCCCCTCCCACCCCTCTGCCCTACCTAGAGTTTATCATCTCACTCCAGTCAAATGGCAGCTATTATGAAGACAAACAACAATAAGTGTTGGCGAGGATGTAGGGAGAAAGGTACACTCGTACATTGCTGGTGGGACTGCAAATTGGTGCAGTCAAAAGCAGTATGGAGATTCCTTGGAAAACTGGGAATGGAACCACCATTTGACCCAGCTATCCCTCTCCTTGGTCTATACCCAAAGGACTTAAAAACAGCATACTACAGGGACACAGCCACATCAATGTTTAAAGCAGCACAATTCACAATAGCTAAACTGTGGAACCAACCTAGATGCCCTTCAATAGATGAATAGATTAAAAAAATGTGGCATAAATACACAATGGAATATTACTCAGCAATAAAAGAGAATAAAATCATGGCATTTGCAGATAAATGGATGGAGTTGGAGAAGATAATGCTAAGTGAAGTTAGCCCATCCCCAAAAGACAAATACTGAATGTTTTCTCTGATATAAAGTGACTGACTCATAGTGGGGTAGGGAGGGGGAGCATGGAAGGAATAGATGAATTCCATTTGCTTTTTGAGAAAACACAGTATGATCTAACTCCAGTTAAGGAGTGTCTATAGTCTGCACAGAGACAGAGCTAGTAAGGACTCCATAAAGTCCTTACTTTATTTTAATCTAATTTATGTATTTTAGGTCATCTTTGCACCAACTCATCAGGGAGATTCAACTATGTGAATATACTGTCTATCATAGAGAATCATCACATAACACATTTTGATGGATCAAACATTAAAATTCTTTGGATATTTCAAGTTGATATGTCTCTATTCTGAGAGAATTAATCTCTTAGAATACTGACTCTACTTACTTCCCTGGAACAGCCCACTCCTACATCATCAAATAATACAAATTTTACAAGATACATAGAAATGGCTGGAGGCGAGAAGATTTGGGCCCAATTGCATCTCGTCCCCAGTGGTACAGATTACCATGGATGGCTAGATTGCCAGTATTAAATAGAGCTGTCCAGAATACCAATCCACATCTCTCAAATAAATGAAAACCAGCAATTACCTGCCAGGAGGTCAGCCTCATCCATGAACTGAGTAGTAAAAAGTATCACACGGTCTCTTCTACGCTCTTTCAGGAGGTTCCAAATTCTGTGTCTTGAGAAGGGATCCATTCCAGCACTGGGTTCATCTAATAGGAAAACCTGCAGAGGAGGGAGGTATGAAGGAGAAGTGTGTGTGTGTATGTGAGTGTGTGTGTGTGTGTGTGTGTATGTGTGTTTCTCCTAAGGTGAAGTTTTTCCAGAAAACAATGTAAAGACCATATTATTTATATGCATTTATTTACTTACTTTTTTGCAGTACTGAGGGTCAAACTCAGAGCCTCGTGTATGCCAGGCAAGCACTCTACCATTGGGCTACATCCCCCATCCTTTATTTGTATTTAAAAGGTATTGTGATTAGGATTTTGTTCTTATTTTGAATATTTTATTATAAATATTTTATCAAACACGTCCTTTTTCAATTACAAGGTTTGAATTCTCATCAAAAGTTTCACTTTCTAAAACTTGAAAACACCCATAAATTTAGCTGAACTCACCTGAGGATCTCCTAAAATGGCAATCCCAAAGGTTAGTTTTCTTTTCTGTCCACCACTTAAGTTTTGAGCCAGGACATTCTGAATATTTTGTATTTCCAATTCCAGCAAAACTCTTTGTATCTAATCAAAAGACAACATTGTATGTCATATACCAAGATTCATTTCTTTTTTCAGCTGCTGTGTGATCTCAGTCAAGTTACTTTCTCTCTGAACCTCAGTTTCTACATGCATAAAATGGGAATAATAACAGCTTTATCTCATAGTGTCGTTCTAAGGAATAAATGAGTTCTACATTTACAGTAAAGGATATGCTCGGCACATTGTAAATTATCTAAATGTTCACTATTGCTTAAATTGGATTTTCCTCTTCAACATTTACCAACGACTTACACACAGATAATTAATAAAAGAGAAAAACAAAACAAAACTGAGCAAATAGGATTAGCAATCTCACTTTAACCAATACATGAGTTTTAATGTATTTATATACCTCTTGCTCCACTTCTTGTGGCAGAATCCCTCTTATTTTAGCAAATAGCCTGAGGTTTTCTTCCACAGTCAGGAAGTCAAACTTCACATTGGATTGTGGACAAATTCCAGTGATCTTGATGATGTTTTCTAGGTCATCCATTTCTGAAAGTTTATTATTGTAGATGGTGACAGAACCTGTTACAAAGATTCTACATTAATATCTGGATAATGAGTAAAACAGAGTATTTCTAAATAAAAAATCATAATCAATGCACTAATCAATAAACTATTTTATCTTCAAGCTTTATACAATTTAGGCATTATGAATTTTCATTTCAGTTGTAAATTGTAAAAGGAGTTCCCATCTGGGATTTTATTCCTAATGATGTAGTGCAGTCTCTTACCATTTATAATTAGGTTTGGCTAGATGCCCACTGGGGCCTTAGCAACAGTGATACAAATAGAGCTGATGAATAGCTACACACTGTGACTTGTCCTCTTTTGTTGCTGGGATCATGAAGAACATTGGGTAAAAATCCCAATCTAGCCTCTTGCAACATGAAAGTCCATGCCAAAACAGAGGTGCAGCTGTCCTATCTGAAGCCTCATATATGTGAGGGGGCACATGTTAAATTACCAAGTGTCAATCACTTGGTTCAGAACAGAGAAAAACCACTCTGTTAACCCACAGAGTCATGAAAAAAAAAATAAAACATTTTTATTTTAAGCCATTCAGTTTGGGAGTATTTGTCATGCAGCAAAAGCTGACAGATACATATGGGAATGCCAAACTGATGACCATGAAAATAATCATCACAAAATACTTACATTCTATATGTAGTAATTAAACATCACAAACATTTATGGAATAATATTACAAATAGATTTCCATTTTTTCTTTGGTATCTGTGTTTATCATTAATAACCAGGAGGATTTTATATTATCAGCTTACTTCTTTGTCAACCTGACTTTGGAAAAAAGAACTCTCACCTTTGGTGGGAACAGACAACCCACTAAGAATATTTAACAGTGTTGATTTTCCAGCTCCACTGTGACCAAGGATTGCAGTGATTTGGCCTTCATAAATGTCCAATACCAGGTCTAGGAGGAATGGAAGGTAAGATAAGGAAGGAGGGAGAAGAAATGGGAGGAAGGAAGGAAAATAATAAAAATCACAAATAACATTCTGTTACAGAACCAATAAATTAATACTTGATTTCCTGGAATGATTGTATTTTCTAGTGTGAAAACATTGTTAAGTTCAAAATAAAAATACCCTTAAAAACTAATTTTTAAAAAATCCTTTCTAGAATTTTTTAAGTTATTTGATTAAAATGAATGAAACATGCCTTATACCCTTAAATTCATTGAAATTGCCTGGCATGGTAGGTGGATGTTAGTATTTATTGAATGGGAGAATAGATTAATAATAAAGTATCACATAGCTAAAACTCCCAAGTGGTAAGTAGGTAAGTGCCCCCCCCCCCCCTTCAGAAAAGGAAAAAAAGTAGAGTATCTACCAATAGCTTTTGGATTATAGAAGAAAAAATTGAGGGTGTAGGAAAAAATATCTGTAGGTTACATCACTATAGACTTTAAATACATGTAATTCTATAACACCCACTTTTTCTTAACTTTTATAAAGTAAAAGTGATGTGTTAGAGGGGAAAATTTATAATAGGGTTCAAATAACTTTTCAAATCTGAGATATTATCATTAACTGCTCAATAAAAGCAAAACAATGTGAATTTAAATCATGAAATTGACTTCAATATATATTTTTTTACCTTTCAAAGCTTCTATTTTATCAGGTTTTCCTTTATATTCTTTTGTAATATTTCTGATTCTGAAAAAAAAAGAAAGAAAAAAGAAAAGCTACTTCAAGGTGACAGTTCTCTCTGGTCTGTAATTCCAGTTTGGCTGCCAGAATCAGATGAAACTGATCTTTAGGATGGAGAGAGAGGTAGCAGTCACTCTCTTGCAGTCCTGGTTGTGGGACAGAATTCTTCAAGAATCCTGCAGAATACTGTGGTCCTGGCTGGACATTGGCATCACCTGATGAGTTTTAAAAATTTGTGCTTGGGTCTTACCAGTTGAGACTCTTTCCCTGGACTGGGCCATGGTCTAACATCAATTAATAGAGAACAGGGCCATCTCTGGACTGCAAAGTTAAGGAAGTCAGAGCAAGAGAGGACATGGGCACCCAACACTAAAAGGGTCAGCGTGAACTACTAGCACAGGTTGGTGATCTCTTTTCTTTTCTTTTCTTTTCTTTTTTTTCTGCTACAACAAAAGAAACTGTATTTAAAAATACTTCTTTTACAGACATGGGTGCTTGAAAAGCTCTTTAGTTAACTGTGTATGGAAATGAAAAAAAAAATAAATAACTATGTAATTAGGTTTTCTCATTTCTATTTTGATTCCATTTTACTGTCAAAAAAATGAGAAGTATCATAAATGCAATGTGTATAAAGTGTGAATAAATGTTGCCAAAGAAAGTAGGGAGGCTAAGGATGGAGAAAGAAAGAAACAAACAAAAAGACCAAGAATCCAAGCAAGAGTTTTGTTGACATGTCTTCACTGGTGAAATCTAAGTTTTTATTTAATGTAGATGTCAACCCTGCAGGGGGCTAGTAAGGGAATTCTTTAAAATGAGAAGTGATGCAAGTGTTGTGGCATGGTCACTTCTCCAGAGCCCAGGGAGAACTCTGCTTGTCTCAGGACCAATTCTTAGCTCCCCAACCTTGGCCTGGACTCCATTCACATCCTTGTTACCTGATGGCTTCTTTCCCATGGAATTCTGGAGACACTGGTTCAAAAGAGTCATTAGATGAAGGACTGGAATCTATTTTATCTTCAAGGATCACATGATCAGCCTTTTGTTGTCGTGACCAAAATGAGGACTTCAGGAAAAACAAGGGTGAATGTTGATGTCCAAATTCATCTGCATGACCCGGTGACAAATATAAGGTCAATAAGCAATTTTAGGGAAGAGTGACACTAACCTAGCCTGGCAATACAACCCCTTTGCTGCTAAGCCTTGTTGGTCAACACAAGGCAATACGTTTTTTGTGTTTTTGTTTCTACTTTTGATGCTGGGTATTAAACCCAGGTAATCATTCATGCTAAAGAAAGTGCTCAACTATTAAGCTAGGCCTGAGTCCCAATGAGCATGTTTTAACATGTGCAACTACATAAGAAAAAAAAAAATCACCAAGCTATCTCTATTATAATAGTTATTCCTATAGGAAGCAATGAAACTGAGATTAAAAAGTTTTCAGGAGGAATTTTAATAAACGTTCAATTAGCCCTAATAAAGCCAGATATTAGAATCAAAATGCAAATGATTTTGGGCCTGTTGAATTCTGTGTCATTTTATTAACAAGCGAAGAAGACATTGGGAAATGCCTACTGGAAAAATAAAATGAATATTTTAAGAGAAGATAGAATGGGACTTAACAAAACAACACATTTGTGGGAAAGGGGAAGAATGGGGCAAAAAAAATTATTCAGACTCAACAGTGGAACTTTAGAAAGCAACTTTATATTCCTGTTTTATCTCATTCCTAGACAATAACTTTCCTCTGAAGCAAATTTATAATTTGCTGGGGGTGCAGTTCATTAGCAAATGCTTGCCTAGTATACATGAGGCTCAGGTTCCATCTCTAGAGCTACAATTAAAAAAAAAATCTACATTTGTGTGTTTCTGAACTGCCATGCTAACTAGCTATACAAAAGCAGCAAAGTGGTTTGTAACATATAAATCGTACATGTATTAAGAAATCTGTTCTAGGAAAGAATGTTACTCAAATGATGTTTGATTTTAATCATAACCACTCACTTGGAAAAATTTTTTCAAAGTACATCATGAGTGCCAGATAGAGGAAAGTGTCAAAGGCCAACATGAAATGTGTTGCTATAATTAGATTGGAGCTGACTGGTGCATCAAGAAATGCATTAGAATTTACGTCATAATCCAAGTGTAAAAGCTGAAAATTAAAAAAAAAAAAGATAAGTTACATTTGTGATACATTTTAAATAATTTAAATAACAAGAATAAGATGGCTACTTATTGTCTCCTCCTGGGAATAGAAATTTAAACAAGGAGATGGCCTACTTGATGGTTGTCAAATGTATCAGAAGGCATGGACAGTTGAGAAACTGTAATAGGTGTTAACAACTGTGGTGAGGAAAGTGTGTTCTAAATGAAATTGGAGCATTAGGAGGAGGTAGGGAAACATGGCAAATGATGGCACTAGAGCTAAATTTAGACTTTTACCAAATAAGACACAGTCAAAAGAAGGGTGAGTTCTGAACATGGCTGCATAACAAATAATTTTTATTCTGGAAAAAAATAGTAGTATGTTAAAAACAAACAAACAAACAACAACCCAGTAGGGTCTATGATATTCTAATGAAGAATTGCTTTATTATTAACCATTCTTTTCTTAAGCACTAAAACCAGATATTTCATGATTGGCATCACCATTTATTTGGAAGGAAGGCAACGTGAGTTCAATAAAATAAAAGAAAAAATTTTATGAAAAGAAACAGTTTGCTAGTTAGTTAATATGTTTTCAAGGTATTTTTAGCTTGATGGTGTATGTTGTCTTAAATTGCTAAATCAAAATATGAACAGAAGCTGAAGCCACAGAAATAGAGAGCAGAAGATTGGTCACCAGAAGCCGGGGAGGGTCCAGGGGGGAGGGGATGGGGAGATGTGGATCCATGGGCACAAAGTGACCTTAGAGGGGAGGAAGCAGCTTTGGGGCCCTACTGTATGTAATGTGACTAGAGCTCACAACATGGTGTTCATAACATCAAATATGTATTTAATAGCCAAAGAAAATGCTTTATATGGTCTCCAAGGGATTTTGTATTGATCATTCACCCCCTGCCTTTGGTTTAGGCTTATTTTGCTGGGCTAAGTACTTTCAAAGCTTTTAAAAGTTCAGCTTTGCAAAATCAAAAAGTCTACAGGAGGGTTTTAAATTTCACCATGCTGAAGTATGAAAACTATTACAGATTCTTTTTTTTTTTTTTTTTTGATTACAGATTCTTCCAGAGAAGAAAGATGCTTTTCACTGATCATTAGATGGCTTCTTACCTGGGACATTCCAAGGGTGAAAGCAAACGGGCTAAGAAAACTGAAAATCCACTCCAAAGACACTGGGAGATATCTGTACAACGCTGTGAATCCAAGGCTCCCCCAGAAGACAGTAAGGAGGAACACCACTAGGCTAGTGAGGAAAGACTTCTTCACCAAGACGCTCATCAGGAAAGCCAGAGCAGTCTAAACAAGAGAAGACCCGACTGGGTAAGGTCCCTCCAGGAATTATTAGTAGCATGATAACAGGAGGGATTTTACAAATAACATTTTAGTTCTATTATTAGTTTGCATGTAACGAGTGAAACTATTATTTTGCCAATTGTATTAATAATTGACATTACTAATCCAACTGTATCCACCTATAGATTTTTGCATGCAACTAGAGCAGGCAGAAAACAGATGTGTAGACAAAATAAGATAATCTGAAACCAACAGTTTGATTTTTAAGGCAAGAGATAGACAGGGAAAAATTTAATTCATCAACTCACCAGTGACAATCCATAAAGGAGAAAGAGGGTAAAAACTACCATGAAGTTGGTCAGAATAAAAAACTGGGTAGATTTTATAATAAGTGCCAAGAAAAGGGCCATAATGAAGATGAAGCCGGCATAGAGCAAACCCCAGGAGAGCCTGGTGCAAAAACAGAGCTTTGTTTTAGTACTGAGTGTTCAGTTGAAAAGAAGGACCCACCATGGATTGTACTGTAATTTTTCATTGTTCATTTGCCCACTCATTCATTCATACACCCATGCTGTTGTGCAGCAGGTATTTATTGCCTATTCTAGGATATGCTATTGCAAACTAGAACTTTTTAAACAGAATTCATAAGGGATTAAGAATATTCTTTTTCTGAAAAATAATTTCAGAAACACACATGCACACACATCATTATAAACAAAAAAAGAAATAATTAGGTTTCAAGTCTGATGAATTTGGGTTGTAACATTTCATTTTGGACTTTCTTACCCTGTGACTGTGGGAAAACTCTGTAACCAATTTTTCTCCCCTTTATTCCTCTGAAAATAGAAAACTATACTATGGTGAGAACTTGGTGAGGTGAGGTTATATGGGTCATCGTCTTAGTTCATGGTAGCACCTTTGTGAATCCCTGATATCTTTTTCTCTAGAGGCTTAAAGAGTGAGAAGCCTCATAAATTTCCTTGGAGATAAGAAATTACTCCTCATGTGAAATTCTGTCACTTCTCTTACCAAAAGCTCTTTTCACCTTTCTCTGCATGAATATATCAAGAAGTCTACATACTTGCCCTTAATTCCACTCATTTTCCAGTGAGATAGAGTGCTAAAAATCATACCATTTACTTTGTCTCAGAATAGTCCACTATGCTTTTCTTATCAATTTCTTTATCTTGTTTTACAGTCTTCTTTAGAGAGTATAATGAAATAAAGATACTTTAAAAAAAATAAAAAAATAGCTGCAAGACCAATACAATAATAGCTAGCACATAGAGCAATTATTATGTATTGGGCAGTGTTTAAAAAACTTAGCAAATAGTAAATCATCTGCTTCTCACCATAGCTGAATGCAGAAATGACATTTCTATGTTTTACTCATGTTATTGACAGAGAAGCCATTGAACAAAGATGTTAACAGTCTCAAATCCAAGTGTTTGGCTCTAGAATCTCCAGATTTCACTGCTCTACTATAATTTCCTCTAATATTAATTCAGTAAAGAGGTCAATACTGATTTTCAGGATTTTAGCACAGAAGGAACTCTAACTCCTAATTGATTACAATATGCCCAACCCGCCCATCTCCCTCCCTTCACGGTTACTTTCGTCCTTCTCCATGCCCTGTCAATTAATTACTCTCGAGGTCTCACACAGAACCTTGTCCATTCTTGGAATTACTCAAGCTTTGACTTCTGCCCTTGCAGTCCCATTCTAGCTGGAATTCCACTTCCTCTGGCAAAGATGCTGACCTCTGTCTTTCCCATTCCATTATCACAACTGCCCAGCAAACTAAACCCGAGAGAATCACAGTCACATTCGGTCTTGTCCTGGCAAACATTATACCAAGGGTGACTTATTGCATTCGGAGGATAAAGGGAAAAGTTAGAAAATCATTAGGTTTTAATAAAGATACACTGCAGACACCCACTTTTCCAGAGATTCTCCATTGAGAACACTGTGCTACAGCCCAGCTCACCAGAACGCTGAATCCTGCAGGCCCATCATGGTCATCAAGGCCTTCATCGTTTTCCTCTCCCTCATGACATTGATGGATGCATAGTAAATGAATGGGGAAAAGGAGATGATGCAGAAGAAAATGAAAAAATCAGTTGCGATTCCTCCTTGACTAATAAAGGGCTGTATCTTCATGTATCTTCCGGTAACCGACATAAGTTCCTCCATGACTGAATGATTTGTTGTGGTCTGAAGAAAGATAATAATAAATAAAATTTCCACACTGAATGACGTGCTGGGGTTTCGTGTCTCTGTTTTTATCATCTCTTTTCCTAGAAATGTGCAATCCTTCTAGGATCTGATGCTGGCCTACATTTCCACATCCGTGTACTGCACTGGTCCACCTGGATTTTGGATTCCAGGCTTTCCAGAATTCTTAGCATTACTGTGTTTGACTATCTCCCCACCCAATGTCACTTCATGATTTCTTTGCAGTGCCTTTTCTGATCTTAGATTTGACAAACCCCTCACCTCAAGCTTCTAGTTTAATTGCCATTTTAATGAGACTCTTTCCATAGCTTTATAGGCTGGAAACTTGCTTGTTTGTTTAAAAGGACTTTTTGATATGCCCATGATCACCTACTTCTGTTCTACTGATGTCCTTATTATATCCCTGGTTTCCTGACAACATTTCTTCTCTGTATGCCTTATTTCCTAACGACATACAGCAAATTTAGTGGTCTTTGTTGTAAATATACAAATGAGTAAATGAAAGAACAGGGCTAGCCATTTATATTTCCTTCCATGAGACTTCTAGTACCTCTGGTATAATTAATTTGTATGGAAAATTAGTTTTCATTGAACATTTTGTACTCACTTCTATAATAGCAGCATTAATGGCAGCTTGAAGAGCCACAAAACCTTCCTTCCAGAATATTGAGATGTAACAGTCAACATCTTCATCTTCTTCAAAACAATGAGCTTTGTGATTAAAAAAGACAAGAAATCATCACTAGAATTATATCAATTCTGATCACAGGAAATGGGCTTTTCAGTGGCCCATAATTCAAATGGACTTATTTTGGCTCTAAAACATGAAAACATAGGTTATAGTAATGATTCTCCAAACGAGTCAGGCAGAGCTGTCTTGGGGAACGTTCTGCCTGTAGTCATCTTTCTCATACCACCTTTTGTGCTTCTCTGCCAGTCAAGAATTTTGTGGAACTCTTCTATTTCTGCATTGTGAAAACAATATCTTTTTGATATTAGTTTTAGTCAGCTTTTTCACCACTGTGACCAAAAGACCTCACAAGAATGAAGTTTGATGTTCATGGTTTCAGAGCTCTGACAGCTGACTCTGTAGCCTGGGGCCTCAGATGAGAAAGAACATGATGGCAGAAGGGCAGGGTGGAGGAAAGCAGCCTAGGACATGGTAATCAGGAAACAGAGAGAGTTCTACTCACCTCCGACAAAATGTATACCCCAAAGGCTGCCAGTGATCTACCTCCTCCAGCTACACCCTACCTGCCTACAAACACCATCAAGTTCATCCATTCAAGTGGAGCAATGCATTGATTAGGTTAAGGCTCTCATAACCCCATTATTTCACCTCTAAATTTTTTTTTTGCATTGTCTTCCATGTAAACTTCTGGGGCACACCTCATATCTAAACCATAACAATGTTCTTCAAAACAGCAGGATTTCTAGTATGCATTGAGAAACACTGAAATACAGCTTGTTCTAACATGGGGTACAACACAGCATAAAGGGCCAAATGGAAGTTTGAATAAGGAAACTCACTGTGCTTAAATCATGTCAATCAGAATGTCTTTTGAAGAAAAAAGTTTATTTATTAAAAAAAAAGATCTACCAGTCCATTGATATTAATATATTTAATGTAGCTATTTTATATATGAACTATGTATAATATGTTGAATATATTTATAATATTTAATGAAATTATATTAAGGTGATAGTCTTTAATAAGATTAATTAAAGTTAAATATAGGAATCAAATGCATACTGCATTAAGATTTTAAATATTTAAAAATTATTTTGAAATATTTCAGATCTACAAATAATATAAAAATAGACACACATGTACTTATCACCAAATTTTTAAAATAAATCATTACAAATACAGTTGAACTCCTCTACATACTGTCTAAATGTTCTTTCCTAAGCACCAATCCTTGAAATAGCTAATGATGTTTCTGAACTTCACGTTTACATATGTCTTTAGGCTTTTACTGTGTAACCCTAAACTATATAAGTAATTTTTAAACATAAACTCTATTTAATCCATAGATCTCATTATATTCATTATTCTGCACCTTACTTCAGTTGTTATGTTTAATAACTTTGAAATCTGTCTAAATAGCCCTATTTATTTCTTCTTATGATTATGGAATCCCATTGTAGAAATGTGAGCCAATCAATTTATTTATCTACTCTCCTGATATTTGGGTTAGTTCTTTTTTTCTTTTTACTGTTGTCACCAGCCTCCATTAAAAAAAATCTAAAATTTGCTTTTTAAAAGGCAAATTTAAATATCAACATAAAAGTATCTAAGCTACTTGTTTCTACTCTTGTCCCCAGCCCCGATTAAAAAATCTAAAATTGTTTTTCACCCAGAAGAAGGAGACTGAAAGCTATAATTTTTTGAAGAATTCTTTTATATTTTATCATGCATGTGTGTGTATCAGTCAGGATAGTCTATGATATGCTATAGTAACAAATTACCTTTAAACCTCAACTTATCACCACAAAAGCTTATTTCTTACTCAGGCTACAAGTTCAGCAAGGTTCTTTGGTCAGAGGTTGGGGGATATTCTATTCCACATTAAACTAAGGATTTCCAAATGAAATGAATTTTCTGCACTATTATATGTGACTCATTCTGCTTGTAGAAGCAGGTGAAGAAAGATGAGAAATCCACTCTTGCTTTTAAAGTGCCTTGAGTCTGGCTCTTCATTGAGAGCTTCCGAAGCACTCAGGAAGGACAGAACAGGCTACCAGTTTTTAATGTAGGGATGAGAGTTTTACTAAAAAGATTTTTATGATGATGGGTTATATATTATTCAATTTTTGCAGAATTTAGAAAATTATATGATACTGGATAGGCATTCTCTTTTCTACATATCCTAGTCAATACTTTGTTTTATTTGTTAGTTTTTGCAAATCTAATGAATGTGAAATGATGTAACAAGTGGTTTCAAAATACAGTTCTCTGATTGCTAATGCAGGTAGAAATCTCTCCACGTGCTTAATCTTGATCTGTGTTTCATGTTTTATGAAATACCTGCTATGTCTTTCAATAATGTCCTATTTTGAGGTCTTTTTCTTATTTATTCAAAGAAAATCTTTATGTATTCTGAAATCATCTTTTGCTAGTTTTATTTGTTATCAATATCTTTTTTCAATTCTACCTCAAATTCTCACTATCTATACAGTATCTTTGGATAATAAGAATTCCTTGATTTTTATCTAGCTGAATATATCTTTTATTTTGTAGTTTATATATTTTTCATTGTGCAAGAAAGTCCTCCTATCCAATAGTTATAAAAGTATGTTCTTATACTGACTTCCAAAAGTTTTGCAGGACTTTTAAAATTTTTTTTTACCTAAAATTGGTTGTTCTGTACAAGATAATTTTATTTTGTTCTTTATGGAGAGACAATTTTTCCTGCAGTTCTCAGCATTAATTGGTAATGTCCTCTCAGTCATATATGAGTGTCCATGTTTATGTGAGAATTTTCCAAGATTCTCTCTTCTCTGTCATTGGCCTATTCATCTGTGGCAGTAACATACTGTCTTAATTTCTTATTTAATTTTTAAAAATGAGTAGCTTGGATACTTTGATTTTGATATTTAAATTTGCCTTTTAAAAAGCAAATTTTAGAATGAATATGTCAACTTCTCTGAAAAAGTCTATTATTCCTTAGATTACTTGCTTATTTTATATTCTCAGTTTTATAATTCCACTGGGAAATATATATATATATATTCAAATATATATATTCATATATATATATATAACTAAATATATATATATATATATATATATATATATATATTCAGCTTGGGCAATTCTCTTGACTCTCGTGGTGCCTTGTTTTTACATATTGGAGAGTAAATTTACATTTAGAGATATTTTGTCTTTGCTGTCTTAGTTGAGGCCGTATTTTTCTAGAGAAAATTTATAATATCATCTGTCAGGCACCCCAGCATCTGACTAGCCTAGGAGCACTTTATATTTTTTAGTTGAGATTTTTCAGATTAGCTTCTCAAGTTAAGGAAGAATTCTAGACTCAGGAGAAGGTGACTGAAAGCTATGATTTTCTTAAGAATTCTCTTTGTATTATTTCAGAGCCCAAAGGGAGAACAACAAACTTCATTTTATTCTTTCTTTGTCAACAGGTGTCTCTTTTTTTGTGAACTCTTGCTGAGTACACAGCCCTCCAGATTCCAAATTAATTCAGGAAACTTCATCTTACACAAACCCAAGATCTTCTCCTCTGTTCCCATATAGCTACTAAAACCCAAATCTCTTGGTTGCTGAGCTTGGCAAAGTCATATAGCACCAATAATAACCAATTAACACTGAGTTTGGTGTCCTCTCCATTTTAGACCTTCAAGAATTGCTCTTACTTTCATATGGATTTACTTAAGCATTTAAACGGAAGTTTGTTCTATTTTATCCATAAATTTTATTTTACCTTAACAACCATATATTACAGCTATATATCACAGATAATGTATGTTTATATGTATATGTGTACATATGTATACACATAAGTCATGTCTGGATATATGTATATGGCTATATATAGTGATCATATATTGAATATGTTAGTTTACTCAAAGATGAAAGCACATTTTTTGAATGTGTAGAATGACATGGACATCACCATGATAGAGATGATCTAACTTGACATATTAACATCTGTTTCTATGAATGGCTCAAACATAAATGAAATAGTGATCAGTGTGATCATATGGCTGGAAAGTTACCTGTATGGTCCCTGTGTTCCTTACTGATCGGGATTCTTCGTCCCAACAAGAATTTCAGATGATATGAGTATGTGTTTGTAAAGATGACTCTTACTATTTCCTCATGATAATCTGCTTTCAATTCTTTAATGCTTTCTTCATCTGATAGTCCCATGACTTCTTTACCTGCCATTACAAGAAAGTGATGTTATTAGTAAATTACCGGGAGACTCGCCTTCGAGATGTCATGTTCAATAGCTTTTACTAGAGTTCTTTATGAAAATAAAATGAAATCATGTATTGACTTTGGCAGAGTCATGAAATCTAAAATGTTGGGGGAAGATGTTTCTAAAGTTTCATTTAGATACCATCAGAAGAAACACATAAAATTTAGTTATTTTTTCCCCACATGTTGTGATTATTGAGCCAATTTCATCAACATAACATATACTATACCAATTACACTATTTGTGGAATAATTAGTATTCTAATAAATCTAAAATTGTATATAGGTATACAATTAGGCACTTGTTGATACTGGAAATAAATATAGTTATTTTCCTGTACAAATCCTGACAGTAAGGTGAAGAAATTCAAAAAAAGAGGGAATTTTTCAAAATATGTGGAGTGCCTATGTTGACATAACTTAAACGAATCCTTTATTTCCAACAAAGAAGTATGTTCAGTTTCCCATTTTAGCAATTTTGATAATTGACACAATTTTATCAGCTGAAATGTAAATTAAATGCCTGCATCTGCATGGATTCTGATGTCACATATTCCTTGTGGATTGCTAGACAACTCACCTGTCATGAAGGAGGTAGTAGCTACTTTGCTCATTATCTGTTGGGTTACATTGGTGACAGGTGTGTATTCAATTGCAAATTTGGATTCATTAAATGAATCTACCCTTCCGAGGTTCACAGGAGGCCTTAAAGAAAAGTCTTCAACTTGATGACCAATAGGATAGAAGTACAAACAAAGTAGGAGGAGCAACGCGTTCATCCATTCCTACGCAGCCCGAGAATGAGGAGAGAAAATTGTGATTTCAAATTATTCATCCATAGTCATTTGTCATACAATTCGTCCCTCTGTTCCTTTTTAAAATTTCAACACATCTTGCAATATGAACCATTTAAAAAATGTATAAAACAAACTGAGTAATTTCAATGAACTATTAATAGTAATTCAAATGGATTGAGCTAAATTCAAATGGATCAGTGCTAAAGGACTGATCATGAGAAATGAAACGCAACAGGACACGCCATTTTAAATTATTGTCAGCTGGTGTTACTTTGGTAACGCACTCATTGATGTATTTGATTCTGCTGAAAGTCCCTGTGTTGAAGAGACCCAGAGCATGCTATAGGGATGATACGCCAAGTTCCAGCCATTGGAAATTCAACAGAGTGATAACGAGGAACACTGTTTCAGTAATTAGTTATAAATCCTGGTCACTTGCAAATTCCCATTAAGAATCACCATATTTCCCAAATGCATAATTTTAAAAAGATTTCACTATGTACATACAGTATAATTCCCATTTAATTCAATATGCTACCTTGCTCTATGAAACTGATTTTAAAAGATACCAAAGTTCAACCAGGCTTTTCATTACATGGTACCATTAAAAAGTAATTTTCTTCTTGGCACTTATACATTCCCAAACTTTGTACTACTTTTGAAGAAAATGTTCTTTTTTTTTAAAGAAAGAAATTCCACAGTTACCTGTGGGTTGATTTGTTTGTTGTGTCTTTAGAATATCACTACTTATGAATGAGTGGGGAACACTAGTAAGAAGAATAATTATTGGCTTTTAAAACATTTATTGAATTCTCAGTTTCTGGCCAGCCTCTGTGCTTTTAGGCCTCAATTTATAGGTTTTTGCCAATTTAAATGTCTTCAAGTAGATTTAGAGTCTTAAAAACGGATTCTTCTGCTTTATAAAGGTTTTTCATTTTATTTTTGGTAGGGGAAATATAAAACAAAAGCATAAATGCCTCTCAGGTAATATACATATTCCTATCTTAAATACAAAGTGGCACAGATAACGAATCATACCATTAGTGGCTCTCTTTTCATTCTCCACTTTTTAAGAATGTTCTTATGTAATAAAGCCCAAGTTTGTTGACACACGCTTATCTTTCTCTTACCCATGTTGCCCTGTTCAATGAGAAAGAAGGGGAGAAAATGAGTAAATGTGAGTTCATAACAGGAACAAATAACCTGCAAACAGAAAGGGAGCAGCCTGGTAACTCCAGTATCCCATACGAGCGCTACAGTCTGGGTGTTCCTGAGTTAGCATGTTATTACTCCCATGCCACCTTCTCCCTGCTTCCAGGCTCTGCTCCATCATGGATTTGTGAGGCACTTGGCCAGTTACTGACTTATGACTTCTTAGCTCCAAATTCGCCTTTCATAGTTTTCCCTGTGAAGATGGATATGGCCCCTTGAAATTACCAATTTTGCTAGCTGGCATGATGTTCAGTTTTGTCCCTAGAGGACTTTCCTTAGTCTGTTTTCTGTTGCTATAACAAAATACTCAAGGCTGGGTATTTTATAAAGAGGTTTATTTGGCTCACAATTCTGAGGGCCAGAGGAACCAAACAGCATGGTACTGGTGTCCTGGAAATGTTCCCTTGGTGGCATCACAGCATGGGGTAAGAATGGAAAGAGAATCAACTGCGTGCAGAAGGGGTCAAGCTCATGAGGTGGTCTTGATTTACAACCTGCTTTCCTGAGAACCAACTTACTCTGCAAGACCAGCATTAATCCCTTCCCCAAACAATGTCCCTAATAGCCTAATTACCTCCCCCTAGACCCCCTATTTTTAGGGTCCACCATTTAAACACCACCACATGGGAGACTTACTCTTTTGTGCATGAACCTGTCCTGAACAGATCACTTCCTGGAAACTCCCTGTCCTCATTCCCAAGCAAAGATATGTTGCTGCAGAGGTTTGCTGTGTGGACCCCACAGGGATTTAAAGCCCAGTTAGGCAACCACTGAAGGAGGTACCAGACCTTCATGTAAATACAGGTGGGAGTGAGCTGGTAAATAGGGAAAGAGAAATGCTGAGAAAGCCCCACCCACGTGTGAGTCCTTTGTACTGGGTTCAATACAGAGGCTGGAGCAAGAAGTCTACAATCCCTCAACCTATATTTGCACTGAACTGAGCAAAACCCACAGTGGCTTATTGATGGGGTTGGGGTGAAAGAATGGAGAGAGATCCCCTTTGTGGCTCAGGTGGACAGGGCCAGAGAAAGTTGAGGGTAGAACAGCAACAGAAAACAAAAATCTATAACTTCCAGACCCATTCTAAGCAAAAACATATGTTTGCCAATCTGAAGAGTGTGTAGGGTGTCTCATTATTTGAATTTGTATTATTTTGTTTTTCATAGAAATTTTTCATGTTGAATGACTATTTAGATTTCTTCTGTAAATAGCTTTTTCTGTATTCTGTTTGGCTTTTATTTTTTAGTTCATTATTATTCCAGATGCTTATTTGTTGCTAGTTCATTAGCTTTGCCAATCCAAAATCAGTGTATATTTTATCATAAGCAAATTTTAATTTTGTTTTAGTCAAATTTAACAACTTTTCCCTCTGATTCTGTATTTCCTGTGTATATCCGGTTTAGAAAGTATTTCCTTTTGGGAAATTACAAATATATATTCCTAATAGTTTCAAAGATTTTTTCATTATAGTTACCTTTTTAATCCAAGTTTATTTGTGTATAAGATGTGAGACAATGACCTACCATGTTGTTGTTCTTCTTTTCTTCTGTAATTGTCAGGCAAGTTGTCCAGACACCAGTTACTTGATGGTTTCTCCTTTCTTAATTGTTGTGTCTATTCTCTCAAATACCAGATGTATATGTATATGTGTATTTATACACATACATGCATATGCATTTTGAAGTAGTCTACTCTTTCAATTAATCTCTACGTGTATGTCTTACGTACAGTCTAGTAACTAGAGCTCCATAATAAGCCTTCTGAAGTACAAGGAAAGGTCTTTCTCCTTGTTCTCTTCAAAATTGTCTCGACAAGTCTAGGGCCATATCCTTTGTGTAGATTTACTTGGTCGATGACTTCATGATTGAGTTTTATTTTAATTCCTCACTTTAGTAATAGGTTTGGCATTCTTATTATACCTTTGCTGATTTTTAGCATGTGACTTTAAAGGCTAAGTGGTTGGGTGTATAAAAGATGGCTCTACAGCTCATGTTTCAATGGAAGGTTCTTTCTATTTCTGGTAACATGGAGTCACTAGTTTCTTGAGATTAATATTTGTCTAATAAATCATTAACAATTTCTTAACCCTGGGGTGAATTTCTAAATATTCAACCAAGTATGAAAATTTTATAACTGCTTCAATGTTTAGAAATCTAAACTGGTAGCTATATTTTATGAAGTGAATTATGTTATGCATGCATTTTTTGTTTGGGATGATCGTGCATTGTGTTTTATTTTCCTATTAAACCTATGCTGTCTTTGCTTTTAGTTCTGTCTATCTTCATACCTTATAAATTCTTTTTAAATTGGTAAAAATTTCTTCTTTTCTCTCCTGTACCAAAGATATGAGAGGTATTTACAGTTCTTTAATAGTCACTCTTAAATTTTGGAGTTTCCCAGGGAACTATGACTTATTTTATGAAAGCTTAACATCTTTTACTATCTCTGTCTTCTTACAAATATTGTCTAGATATTTTAATTTGCTGCTGAGTTCCAACCCGATCATTCTAGTCGTTCTTACTTAGAAATGTGTTCAATTTTTAACTTAAAGTACATAGTGAAATAATTTTTCCAACAATAGAGAGTGATATGTTTGGGACTGTGTTCGAGGTAGAGGGTAAGCATTTCCCCTCAATTGGGATTGGGTTGGCCTCTGCTGGATTAAGAATTCACCAACCTTTGTCCTCTGTAGGGTTAGTTCTCTAGAACACATCCTATATACTTTACCTAAAATTGCCTGCAAGGAGCAGCATTTTTCTTCTATGGATACTGCCTTCTCCTCTAAGGATTACAACAGCAGTAGACCAGAACTTTCCTCTAATAAAGAAGCAAATCAGTTTTATGATATTTGACATTGAGTAAAGAACATGTAGAGGAGTGTGTGTGTGTGTGTGTGTGTGTGAATTAGTAGAGGAATATATATCTACATTTTATTGTAGCAGGGATACAAAATTCCTCAGAGGCTAATACTATTACCACTTCTCTCCACAGCCCCAGTTAACCAACACTATACAAATACGATTTGCTGGGCCTCCCCTGAAAACTGTGGAACACAAGTGCTTTTGTAAGGTCTTTCCTGTGGGAGGAATGAGGAGTCTAAGCTACATTATAGAAAATAAAGAGATTCTGGAATGCTTACCAGTTTTCTGGGAAGCATGCCAGGAATATGACTTGGAAGGCTGGGTCAGGACTTCTACCACAGAGCCAGTAGCTCCATGGCGAAGACTGGCAACCGGCTCTTAAGTCCTGACTTCTGAAGTAAGTGGTCTCCTCCCTCTCTGCAGACCCCATGGACACACAGGGCTGCTGTGAACTGGTCCATAATTGATGAGGAGTGGGTATGAGCCGACCTGAAGCCCCTGTCCCAGCCATGGGACAGGATCACACACGGGGTGCTGCTGTTTCCTAATCAAAGCTGGGGTGAGGAGTCCAGGGGCCAGTTCCAAACGCCATCCCGTTGGCCAAGGCAGGCTCAGAGGATATTGCCAGAGAGGAAAACTACACAGGCTGTTCACTGAGGCTGGAAGCAAGTCTATCGGATGAAGAAAAGAGGTCAGGAAGCCCGTGGAAAGAGAGAAGGAGGGAAAGGAAATTTCAAGAATGAAATAGCAGTAGGTCAGGTTGCTCCATGAGAGGGTGCTGAGGCTCCCCATGGGCATTCTTAGTACAGAGAATTATGAATGGGCACTTAGAAGGGGGTCATGCAGGGCTGTAGGGGACAGTGAGATGGCTCAGAGTGAGATCTTCTGGCTGTGGAATCAGCCATAGCCCTGGGTAGCATGGAGCCATCAATCCCTCCCCCACCCCTTCCATCTTCCACTGTAAGTTAGTATTACAACTTTATTTCTCCCCAACTGGTGTATGTTCTTCAGTTCGTAAAAAGACTGATAACATGAATTCCTTGATACGCATATGACAAATAGTTTCCAACTGGAATGACTTGACTTTTATCTTTTGATGCTGTTTTTAAATTCAAAACAAAATGTTTATACTACAGAAGCATGTATCATCTGTCTACCACAAACCATGCACATTCAAAGCAGTACTGTGAGAAGGAAAAGCTACATATTTCACATTCTGATTCAACTGATGATATTCAAAGAGGAAAAGATTCTGGAAAGCTTCTAAAATTCTTAGAGCCTGAGAATGAGAGAAAGGGATAATAAAAAAGATTTCTGTAAATGTTCTTGGTAAACAGTCTCAAAGTCAGAAAAACACAATTACTGTGCAATAAAAGTGAAAAACTATAACTTCAAATACAACTCAGGCTTCCAAGTCAGTTCTTAAGATTTTTAAGTTCTTCATAATCAACTTGTTAGCCAATCTCTGCTTATTCTTACTCTCAGTTTCTGGTTTAGAATAATACCATACGTGCATACTTGTTAAAACCTCACATTTTAATTCAATTGTTTTACCTATCTAATATTAAGCTCCAGATACCAAAGCACTTCAAAATAGCCCATTAATTTTCAAACTAATTTCTCTGCAGATATTTAACCTTCAGTTCACAAAACCTTATTATTCTGTGACAAGATAAAAAGAAGGAAAAAAAGAAAATCCCCAAGGCCAAAAAAAAAAAAAAAAAAAAAAACAAACAAGAAACCACAAAACAAAACAAAAAAATCAAAAACAAGACGAACTTACTTTTGGGAAATATGAAGCAAGGGATCTAGAGACACAGTTTATCCGCTGGTGACCACAACTGAAAGTAAACAACGTACTTTTTTTTTTTATCCCGGTCCCTAGCACATCTCTAGAATTTGCTTTATCTGTTTGACTTTATAAAAAGGTCCCGGACTGCTTTCAGAAGACAGGCTATGATGTCAGAGTCAGCCCAGCCAAACAGCAGGCCCAAGTGATCACTCTTGTCTTCTCATTGATATTCAGCCAGTTCCTGCAGAGCAGTGGCATTTATGCGTGGC